CTAACCTTCCAAGACCTGGTTGTCCAAGGAAACTAACGGACGGCAATGCAAGGTGAATTAACAAAAAGGTACAGAAGAACCCGTTTGTTGCTCGTGGTGAAATTATAACGACCGGGAAGAATCTTGGATTGATGTAGAAAATGACAATCAGCAGAGCTCTACATCGTACTGGTCCTATGCAGTGTTGCCAGGTTTTTTCTCGGCGAGAATACCAGATTGCCTAGCTCAAAATACCAGAATTATGTATTGGAGACAGGTCAAAGTAGACAAGTGATGCAGTAGGCAGCCAGTTCTATGAATGGATGATGATTTTCAAGATCAGTGAAATATTGAATGGCACCCCAGAATTCAAGTGGCACTCCAATAAGTGGCACACTAGAATTCAAAACCACCAAACAAAAATGTTGGAGCTTGCGTCGCAGAGATCAGTTCGACAACCACAGTCGTCCTAGGCCATTTTATCACTGATCAGTGATCAATCAAGGATCATCACCCTCGTGCTTACATATATTGTACTAAGCACTTTTGTTAAATGTTAACAATTAGATTAGGGTTATTTCAACATGCGGTAAACTTGCGGGTCCAAAAATTGCGGGAAACCTCTAGTCGCGCCGCTTTGAAGGTAATCATATAATCCACGCCTACGCTGGATAAACTTCTAACTTCCTGGTGGAACTTAATGCAGTAAATTTGCAATAAGCCAGAAAAATACCAGATTTAGGCAAATATACCAATATACCAGATCTAAAATATTCATACCAGACACCTGAAAATACCAGATTTGTGAATTTTGGTATAGAAATATACCATTTGGCAACGCTGGGCCTGTCGTCGATTCTTACATCGCAGAATATTTACAGCACAGTGTGAGCTGAGTGAGCTCTGCCCATTCAGGTTCAGCTTCTCACAGCCGATGGTCATGTGTTAGGGTTGGCCTCATCGGGACACATTGGTTGCTAGTTTGGTAAGATTTCTTGATGTGATGAGTGGCGGCCATAGTGACAAACCAGAGATTTATAGAATCAGTTTATTTTAAATTTCCTAATTCACTCAAGATTTCAATCAATTTATTATATATGATAATGCTGGTATCCATGATACTTTTCTGGTCTACTAATAGGACTCAAGAAATGAACTTGAGGGAGAGTCTAAAAAAAACTCTGCTTTGCCACTATGGTGGCGGCTGGTGCTGAGTGTAAACAGACGAGCTCATAGAGCGGCTGCGCTGCAATGGCACATTTAGTTTTTTAGACCATCGGCAACTCCGTCCTTTTTTAAATCAAATGGGTGCTTATTAATTTTGTTTCATATATTCATATAATTTAATTGTTCTGGCCAGTGCCCAGTGGCCAGTATCCAAGCCAGCAAATTTGTGAGATATTTGGACTTTGATAGGGACATTGAAGTCATTTGAATTTTTAAGAATTGTTGAAGGGTGATATTATGAATACCTAGGTAGGTTAGGTACCTACACAAAACCTCTCACTGTATCAGACTGAGCTCCATCTTATTTTGAATCAGTCAATCAGATACTATCACATAGTATCAGGAAACGTGAAAGTGTTGAAACTAGATCTTCCTTTACAGTTTTTTTGATAAAACTGCAATAAACTCTAATTGAAAGTTGAAACATGGTCCTGGAAAAAGTAATTTATGTATAAATAATTTTCTTGTTTGTTCATTCAATTGTTCAAAGAATATTTTTTGCTGTGTGGGCACCGTAGTGGCAAAGCAGAGTTTTTAGACTCTCCCTCATCTCTCAAGCATGGTGGCAGGGAATTATTGTGAGTACTTATGCGTTTGCAAGAGCATCGACCGGTCCGGCTCCTGTCTCTTATACACATCTAGATGTGTATAAGAGACAGCTGCTTATCGTTTAAATTTTGTAACAAAGTCAAAATCCCAAGGCGATAAGTCTTTGCTACAACCCAAATTTCTGATTTTGTGTTCCGGTGAAGATATTATGCAGCTTTATCTTTAAAATCTAATTTTAAATGGCTAAAACTCGAGAGTTGGCGGCAGATTTGTGTCAAAAGATCATAGATTGTAAAAAGAAACAGAAGGGGTATCGAATAATATCCAAGAAGCCTGATCTATCATTGAGTACACTTGGAAATATCATCAGGAAGNGCTTTTGCCGGTGAAGGTGTTTTACGATCGGTCCGTAAAGAAGCGTTGATCGGTTCAAAATGACATAAGAACAGGTTCTTTTGAATAACCTATGGATTGCCACCATGCTCTCAAGTTCATTTTTGAGTCCTATATCATATATGCTATGGAGACCAGTAAAGAGTAAAGTATATCCTGGGACCTGGATAGGTACCTGCATTATCATACATAAGAAATTGGTTTAAATCATGCGTAAATGAGGAAATTAAAAATGAACTGATTCTAAAAAATCCGTGGTTTGTCAGTTGTCAGTTGTCACTATGGAGTCAGGACTGGCCACTGGGCACTGGGCATATCACAAAGCAGGTTTCCCAAAGCTCTTTTAGTATATAATATTGTCATATTGACAACATTTTGAGCTGAATAAATATTATAATATTATTCATTATTTAATAAGTTACTTGCTGAACTTAATAAATATTATTATAATATTATTCATTATTTAATAAGTTACTTGCTGAACTTAATAATAGAGCCTGAAAGTTTTCTATGCAGAAATTCTGAGATCTTGAAATGACTTATTTGGTAAAATTTGATATTATGGATAAAACTTTCAAGTTGAAAAATGTTTGGAATTGGGTACGTGCTGACCTACGGGCTAAGGCTACCATCATCAGCTACAGTCAAGACCATTAGATTGATCATTTATGGATTTTACTATTTATGCTGCATAAAAATCTTTTACTAGCATGAAAAAATTTTTACTGTACACTTGGCAGCTAAAAATGTTTAATTAATAAGTGTTCATTACAAATCTAATGGACTAAAACATTTGGTTATACATGTCAACATCCAATTAAATGTTAGCCTAAATAGCCTGATGTTAATCTGACTGACTAATTATTATCCAGACAACTCCAGAAGTTTGTAGTTACCAAATTGATAGCTCCATGCCAAGGCCACGGTTGTGAGGCCAATGTCCAGGCAGAGAGACCAGGGTCCAGGTTGAGGGGTGGGGGGCCCAAGTCCAGGTTGAGACTTGAGAGGCCATGGTCCATGCTGACAGGCCCAAGTCCAGGTTGAGAGGCCATGGTCCAGGCTGACAGGCCGTGGTCCATTTTGAGAGACTACCGTAAAATGGGGTTACTTTGACCGGCGGGGTAACTTTGACCACTTTTCGTTTTTTTTAACAAAAACCCCCATGGGGTAACAAAGACCATCACTTTTTTTGAAATTACATAAAGACTATGAGAGGCAGGAGCCAGCAATTTATGGTGAGTGAAGCTAGAGTATAGACCTGTATTTTGCATGTTTCAATTCAAGTTTAATTTAGCTAGTAAAAAAATGGCATCATTTATAAAAAAAGTGGTCTAAGTTACCCCATTTTACGGTACTAGGATGGAGGCTGAGAGACCAAAGTCCAGATTGATAAGCCAGGGTCCAGGTTGATAAGCCAGGGTCCACGTTGAGAGGCCATGGTCCAGGATGACAGGCCAGGGTCCATTTTGAGAGGCTAGGGTGGAGGCCGAGAGACCAAAGTCCAGATTGAGATGCAAAGAAGCAAGGGTCCAGGTTGAGAGGCCAGGGTCGAGATTGAGAGGCCAGGGTCTAAGTTGAGAGGCTAGGGTCCAGACTGACCAGTTGGGGTCCATTTTGAGAGGCTTGGGTGGAGGCTGAGAGACCAAAGTCCAGGTTAAGAGGCAAAAGACCAGGTTAAGAGGCTAGGGTCGAGTTAATATTAGCTAGAGATTCATTTTTGATTAGGTATAAGTTGAGCTTCAGATGAGATTGGAATATTCTGATTTTTTGGAATCTTGCAGCCGCAAAGACTAAATGAACGATTCCAATAAATTCTGGAAAATTTGGCCAAATCTAACAATGACAGAGATGAAAACGCCTGTGCTTGCAGTCAAATTTCACTATTTTCTGCGAGTCTTGCCTAATTGATTTCATTAAAAATGAGAAAAATAGAACTGTTTTTCATGCTATTTTTGAAATTCCCATAGAAAATGATGAGTTTTACTTGCTATTTTTTAAATAATTTTGTTAAATTCTAGGTTGGATGCTGCAGGTGCTTGCATTCAGGGCTGGGTAGATAAAGGTCTTCTTATGAGCCTCCCTGTGGTGGTCATTGCTTCACTATTAGCCTCTAAGTGGCTATGCCTATGGCTAATTAATTAGGCATAGTGGCCAATCTAGGATATCAGGTAGAACTTTCCAAAAATAGCCAGTAAAAAAAATTATCTCTTGAGTGATGCACCCAACAGAGACGCTTGAAATTTACAGAGCTAGCACAGAAAATTATGGTCTTTTTGAAGTAAAAAAAATTCAACACACTCACAGTTCAATACCTTGAAAAATGTAGGTAAGAAATTGTGATCTACACTGCCCTGCCACTTATGCAAATGAATACATTTATCTTCTCCATTTTCAAAGATTGAGTTACTGTAACGTCTATTAAGCAATGAACCATTGAAAAAAATAGCATTATTTTCATTCCTTTAGCTTTTTACTCTATTAATTAAATATGACAAGACATGAATGCATGAATTTACTTTTCTAATGAAGTTTTAGTCCAGTCAAAGCCCCAATTCTGGGTCAAAGTTATTCTGTATTTATGGGTTGAGGTGCTCATGGAAAGATTTTTACAAGGATAAAAATTTGGAGGACCAATTGGAAATAAAGGGATCACTGAAATGAATTTTGATAAGGAAAAAATTGGTTTGAGGCAGGATTAGATGTATTTTGCATGTTATTTCTTTAAATACAATATTATTTTATGTTCACAATTCTGAGATGGGTTTGTATTATCTTCACATTGAAGTAAATTTCTTTGTGCTAAATAATTTCCATTCAACATCTCATCTATTTGCTTTTTTCTTGCAGATATTTTAACTTGAAACCAACCTGTGGAAAATTACCTGCTACGTACCTGTCATTAATTTATTTCTTTCTTGTAATTTATGTAGGTTGAATTACATTATAATATTAATGATTCAATATTAGAAATGGCTGCTCCTGTAGTTATCACCTCTTGGAAGAGCCATCAGGCTCACTGCATACTATTTGCTTCAGTGCATGAAGATGTTGAACCATCAACCAGAGAAGTTGAACTCTACATATCAGAGTCTAGCTGCAAGTGAGTATATATGATCCTTGATTATCTTACTCTGGCTTTTATGACTTTGAACCATGAATTAGCCTTATTACTTAGTTTTTATTTCACATATTCTTCAAAAACATTAAAGTAAAATTGTGTTTACCCCATTAAGGCAAGAAATGGCTAGCTTACTCTTTTTTTTTTCCATACAGAAACTGATGTTTTCAAAAACATTGTTTTGCACTAAATGTATCAATGAAACATCCTATGTATTTAGTCATGCTTTCTGTATGCTGGTTCATTCCCCAGTAGACAATAGACTGTTAAAAATTTACAGTAGCCAGCACTTGTTGTGTAGGTATAATATGTTTCTCATTAAAACCATTGATAGATCCTCATTCCAAAATATGCTTGTTCCACCCAGCGGATATTTCCATAAAAGATGAGAGTAATTTTCATTGACAGCCAGTAATCTTAACATAGCATTTTTGATGTGAAAATGTTGCCTCAAACAGTGGATTTGAATTCTAATCAGTGCCATTCAATGTTTTGCTGAACAATTTCCCATTTTAATAATTGGTATTTGCTGTGCTACTTTTGTTTGCGATGGTCAGGTAATGAAGTTTTGTGTGCAGCTGATTAAAAAAATTTACTTGGTGGTACATCAAAAATACCTACCATATTATTAGTAACACAAAATTAGGGTCATCATGTTTGATGCAATTCATCCATATAATTTAGAGATATATTTTGTAGTTTGTTTTTCCTACATGTTGTGCCACTGCAAGATTCTATTTCTTTTCTTCCATATAGTATATAATCATGAAAGTAGCAACATCCAGTACACTTGACTTGCATTTGCGCAAAGAAATTGCAGATTCCAAAATTTTAATGGTTAGAAAATTTTAATCTTCATTATAAGAGTGAATCAAGTTTGTGATTTTTGAGATTCATTGTTCCATTCATGATATGAATGAACAATGAAAAACTCTTGATAAAAACATGTGTTTTTTAATGTGGAGGAATTATCTTTCCTGTTGGTATATAACTAGTTCTTTGTTGATGTGATCATTTGATTTGTTGATGCAATCACTAGTATAAAGTTTATATGTATATTTTCTACCAAGCTGTTTGAAATGTTTTTGGTTTGATAATTACTTCTATATGTGTTTTTCAGTGAATACAATGACCATGCAATTGTTGAAGAGAAGAAGGTACATGATGAATGTTTACTGCCTGGCCCATATTGCGAATCTCTTCCTCAAGACTACACCATCAGGAGCTTCAGTCTTGAAATAATTGTGAGTCAAAGTTGTTCTTATGAACTAATTTGTTCTATCATACTAAGTTATTTATTATTGAATTATCAGTTCATGGTCCCTGATTGGCTAGTTCAAGAAAGCTTGCTGCTGTGTGAGACTGTGATTGTCAAGCTTATTTTCAGAGTTCTTTAATGAATGATTGATACCTATAGTTTAAAACCTGTGTGGTGATTGACATACTTTTTTTGAGATCTGTGTGGTGAAAGGCAGTGTTTTCTTAATACTGGGTAATGATGAGCAACAATTGCTTGGGAACTGAGAAATAAGCTTAAGATATTTTGGCTTTGCTTAGAATTTTTTTTAAGAAAATGGGTAGGTGCTATGGGTCATAATGAAATGGGTCATGGTGAAATGGGTCATGGGTAGGTGCTATGCAAGTTTTGCATAGCACCTACCCATGGTGAGATAGGCAGGTATTGCTCAGACCTGTGGAGAGATAGGCAGGTATTGCTTAGACCTGTGGAGAGATAGGCAGGTATTGCTTAGACCTATGGAGAGATAGGCAGGTATTGCTTAGACCTATGGAGAGATAGGCAGGTATTGCTTAGACCTGTGGAGAGATAGGCAGGTATTGCTTAGACCTGCGGAGAGATAGGCAGGTATTGCTCAGACCGGTGGAGAAATAGGCAGGTATTGCTTAGTTAAACCTGTCAAGAGATAGGCAGGTATTGCTTAGACCTGTGGAGAAATTGGCAGGTATTGCTTAGTTAAACCTGTGGAGAGATAGGCTGGTAGGTAGGTATTTCTTAGTTAGACTAGGTAATGATTATCTTTTGGCTAAAATGATTTGTATATATATGAGGATAGTAATCCTGCCATAAGCCAGAAAATGGTTTACTGTGCATTTTTAATCATAAAAGTTAGATGTTTTGGAAACTTGATGAATTGAGAGTAAAGGTGGTAATGCATCTAGATTATTCCTGGAACAATTTTTTATACATACCAAGTAGGTTTATAATAATTTCCAAGTCAAGTATGGTACTTTATTTAATGCAAGTCATTTTAAAAGGAATAAAGTTTAAATTTAATTGACTAACATTAATATTAAAATTAAATATTACATCTACCGTCAACTTAATTATAATGTGTTATGATTATTGTTAGTATTATTTTTTGTATATTGGTAGGTAGTTTATTGTTGTGATGTGGAAATATTCCTGTCTCATGTTAAACTAATTTCAGAAGGATTACCATCTCCCTGGCATGCCTTTGGATACGTTCCAAAGCTTCAGTTCCTATTGGGCTACAAACGGCGCCGTCTTATGCTGCACGTCCTGGGTAACGCTCTACCCCTTCTTGTGTCAGCGCTCTGTTGTCGACTGGAGTGCCAAAGCATTGAGAGAAACATATGAACTTATGCCGTGTCTGCAATGGCTGTCATGCTATCACGATGTTGATGCTTCAACTGCATCCTTGAACCTTGTTGACGAGGGGGCCTGTGGAAGAGAAGTTTACAGTGAATGTGGTGTTGAATTGATCAAAGTTGATGATCGAAGCCAGCTGCTTAGAAGTGCTTATCAAAAATTTGTGATATTTCGATACGTTTGATTTGGACTTGAATTCGTTTTTTTACTTCATTCAACTTTTGTGCAGAGTTGCCAATTCAATGGGATCCATCTTGAGCCGCCTTCGTGACCAAGGTGAAGCCTCAAAGCCTATTCATGATGCAGAAGACTACATCCCTTTAAACCTGCAACAATATTCACTGAATGATTTAGTTGTGCGTTGTGACACAAACAAGGTTGTGCGATATGACTCAGCCAAATTTTCCAGTAAGGCTTACCGTATCACAGAGAGCGTTCGCCGTGCAGGATTTGACTGTGCAAAATCTTTCTTCACATCAAGCAACAACCTAACTTGTGATGATGTCGGTTGCATGGAACCTCTGCCTCGAAGTCTGGTTGAGGATCTGAAGCCAAAGTACACATGTTGTCTGTCTCGTGAAGATGACTGCTTATTGCAAGAGTACGATAGAATCTTTAGACGTTTCGTGGGTCTTGGTGAAAATTTCAGGAATGAAATATTGATGTCCAGTGAAACTGAACATTATGAAACCGAGAGCAGCGAGACAGCACAAACTGTATCTCATGAAAGAAACAAGGCCCTGATTATGCCATATTCTGACTTTGAAAACTGCCGCAATGTAACATGGCTACAGCAGGAAGAACTCGACAAAATCACATACATGAATCAGCCTTTTTTGGATGGAGATCTGTCGGTAATTCCACTTATATCGCAGCTTGGCATTAGGTTAGGATATCACAAGATTGCGCTGGATGATAAGAGCTTTCCGCATCAGTTTCTTCATCCCAAAATGATGCATTTCTTCCTCAAGCTTCAGGAGGCATTTTACACTCTTCGTTGTATGGACTTTGACTTTGTTGCAGCATTGCAGGACGGTAAGTATCCTCTATAGTTTTCTTTCAAAAGTTTGATTTTTCTTTTGTTGTTTTTCTCTTTTTAGCGCATTTTCTCATTTATGGAAAAAATGCACTATTGTGCTCGCCATGTCCGTCTGTCTGCCTGTCCGTCCGTCCGTGACCTCAAGTTTTCGTCGACGAGAAAATGCGCTCTCTGTCACTCACTGCAGTGAGTACTGAGTTATATTTTTTTTAGTTCATGTTGATTTTGTATACATTTGAAGAAATGTAGTACTATAGGTACTCGTAGTAGAAAATGAGTAGGTACCTAGTTTCAATGTTTAAGTTTGTTCACTTAGCCATTGGATTGAAAAGCTCATTATTACATTCTCATTGATCTTTCAAACCACCAAATGCATCACTTGTGGTAGTATGTTTATCTGTACTCTCCTACCAGTGATGGCTCCATAAAAAACCCACTTGAGTACATCAACCTAACGTACCTTAAGTTTTGTAATGTAGGTAGCAAAAATAACACCACATTTAGGGTTTATTTCAGTGAATCATAAAATCACCCGTTCTGTGCCTTTCAATTTACATGATGCAGTTATGCATACTCAGACGTGGGCAAGAGCTTGTCCAGAACAAGATTTACCTAACAGTTTTTAACCACTCGTTATCTTTTAATTAATTAAAGTGAATATTAGGTTGAAAATCATTAACTGATTGTTGTTAATTGAACAGCACGTGCTAAGGACTTTGTCAACGGTGTCTGGACACGTGTAGATTCAGCAACAAAGGCGCTTGATGAGCTGCTGTATTACAGGTAAGCGGCTTGATACGTGAATATTTTATTTGTAATATTCTTTGTTATTGAATATACCTTTATGATTATTGAATATACCTTTATGATTATTGAATATACCTTTTTGATTATTAAATAAAGCTGGGAGCTTTTCAGATAAAGATTATATACTTTGTATGTACTTTGTATGTATTCATCCGTTCATGGAATATAGGTACCGTATTTCATTGTGATTAGCAAAGATCTATAATAATTTTAGCCTAAATATATTTTTATGTGTTGCAAAAAAGCACAAAGTTTATGAATAAAGGTTAACAATCGCGTTTTCTGCCTCACAAATGGTTTAAAAGAGTGATCATTCAAGGCTTGTTTTGACTTATGTTTCTCCTTCACAGGCTGGCTAAGAGCAGCGTGGACATAACAGAAATTCTGCATAAGCGTCTTGGTTATGAAGGATATGCTGAGGACCTGTACTTGGGTGATAACCATGCCATTGCTCAGGTACCAAAATTTTGCCTAGTGTAATTCTCTTAATTATGCTCTTAATTGTTATTTGATATGCGTATTTAAAACTGCAATTTTATGTAATGTAAGGACCATTATACCTGCATTGTATAATGGAAGCATCTGTATACTTTTAAGGTCGCATGCACATGGATCAATATCTAAATACGAATTAATATTGTATTTTAATTTTCTGGGCTTTCTCTGGAATGTCTTATGAAGGAATTAAAATGATGAAGTCAATCAATTATATGCTTTCATTAATCTCACTGGTGATATTCATTAGTTTATATAGTGCTTTATGGTCAGAGTGAATGTAAGTTTCTATTGATCTTTGCATGGTAGCTAATTTATACCTATCCATTTTAACTAGTTGGCAGGTTACTATCAATCGCGGTCTTCAAATTGGAAGGTATATTTTAATCAGGTTTACTGTTGGGTGTAATTCTGATAATTCCGAGGATATTGAGGGTTTACTTTGATAATCTTCTAATTTTTGATAAAGTTTTTACTCGCATACCTATTCGTAATTACATATTTTGCATTCTCCAAATATGTGAACTACAAATAACTTCAACACTTATTGTTGCATAAGTGTGCCAAATGCAGTATTTCTCTCTCTTGCCAATAAAACCTGACATTTAATCGGTCAACTTTCTCTGTTGAAAAGATTTCTTTGCGCTAAGAAAGTTGATTCATGTTTGTGAAAACAAGATAAGCAATATCAAAGAAGTGGTTCCTGAAATTCAACATCTACCTGCCCTATAATGACTAGCAAGAATATCAATAATATATAATTAACATGCCTTGAATATGTATTCTAGCATTGAATTGTCTAGGCATTTTACAACACTTTAGATGTTTAATTTTTCGTTGATTTGGCAGTTTCTAGTTCAATTTAGCCCACTTTCGGAACCAGTGCATTTAAAAGATGGATTTTGAACAAACCTCACTCATTGATATATATATATTGGTACCTATCAATTATGGTCATTAAAACCTCTTTTTAGCGCATTTTCTTATTTATGAAAAAATGCCTTATTGTGCTCGTCATGTCCGTCTGTCCGTCCGTGCGTCCGTGACTTCACCTTTTCGTCGACGAGAAAATGCGGTCTCTGTCACTCACTGCAGTGAGTACTGAGTTATATTTTTCTTTCTGCCCAAATCAAGTGTGTATCATTTGTCATTTATGAAACATTTGAGGATCACATTTATTCCACGCGTGTGCGTTGTTAAATTACATTTTATTGTGATAAGCCTAAAGTTGGAATAGTTTTAGGCTACTTTTTTATCCTGAAGCTTACATCCCTATAACCCTTCATGTACTGACGGCACTTTCTGTCCCAAGCCTTTGTACACGTATAGCATTGACTTCATTAATGTATTTGCCGGCAAACAATTAAGCCTGCAACTCCATGCAATTAACACATAAATTCTGACCCAGGCGCGTCGTCTCGTGCTGAGCTACCGGTCGCCGCTGGTTGAACTACATCCCTATNGGTCTGTTGCTGTGGTGCTGGTCTGTTGCTGTGGTGTGGGTCTGTTGCGGTGGTGTGGGTCTGTTGCTGTGCTAATTTGTGATCGTTCTAACTGAAATTCATGTACACTCGGCGCTCGCTTCTACCGACAAGAACGCAACATCGAGAAACAAAAACTACCGCAAAATATCCTCATTGCCAATATTACAGTAATACTTCATTACAATTATGCTGTTGCCTTCCATGACAGGTTCTGGCCGTTGTAGAGTAATTCTCAGTGATGTTTCCATGCGTCTCCTAATTAATCTAATTATGTATTAATACTATCTTACTCTTTTTCTCTCATACTCTATAATACTCTCTTTTTCAGCCCGGAAAATTGCCCCAAGATTACATGGCTAGCATCCACGCAAACTTCGAGGCGTGCGACGAGTTTGATCAGGAGAAAGAAATTGCCACCGAATTGGCAATTCTTCGACGATTGCATCTTCCTGTTGGCAAGGTTGCATTTATGTACCATTTTGGAGAAACCAATATCGATGAGCAGTCGTGTCTGAAACGTGACTCAAGCCAGAGCAATGGGATTCTGAACGATGAAAGTAGCGTTAAAGATTCCACTCGAAACGATGAATACGGAGAGAGCAACTCTCCTCGTGATGATGAAAGCAAGGAGTGTAACTCATCTCAGGATATAAATGAAGAACACGCCCCATCACAGTATGGTGATCACACGCCATCAGCCACTGAGTACAGTTCTTCATCTTCTCATCACTTCCAATCATCTTCTACTGATGTCTCTGTTGTGAAAGACGTGAGAAGTGAAAGTGAGTTAGGTGCAAAACATGGTCAGGATGTTGATACTTCTTGTGAACAATCCGAAGAAAAAACGGAATCTTCGCATGAATCGTTTGAGGAGTACTCAGATGCTGTGGAAATTTCAGCTTCGACACTCCTCCCTCGTGATGTGACCAGAAAGCTTTTCTCTAGCACCAGTAGCTGTGAGAGCGTCACTGTACATGGTTTGCCGTCTCACGTTCACTGCAAGACATCACAACAGGGCATCTCTTCTGACAATAGTAGTGCCCATAGTAACTGCTTTAAATGTAGTATTGAAGGAGATTATTGTATATATTCACATAATACCTGCGATGAAAAGCATGTTGTAGATGGAAATCGCCACAACATTGATTCTGCCGAAATGACATCTTCGACTGAAGTTTTGAAGGAAGCGAAAGAATTTAGTTATGATAGCAATGTTTTCGAGACGGTTTCAGAAGAAAAAATGTCATCCCAGAATATACCTTCTGTGGAAGATGGTGAATCTGTGGAAGATTCTGAAGAATATTTTGATGAAGCCGTAGAATCTATTCAAGAAAATGAGGAATCTGCCCAAGAAGATAAAGAACATCTCCAAAGACATGAGAACCGTGTCCAAGAGGCCAGAAAAGTTGTTGAACAAGCTGGAGAATCGTTGAAAAGAGCTGGGGAATCTTTCAATCATGCTGGAAAATCTTTCAAGCAGGCCGCTGAAGCATTGAAGCGGGCTACCGAATCTTTCAAGCAATTTCAAAAATCTTTCGAAAAAGCTGGTGAATTTTCCCTTGAAGGTATGAAGCCTGTCGAAGAAGCCGGAGAATTTTTCCATGGAGAAAAAGGATTTTGCCAAAATGAAAGGGATACGGCGCCGAAAGCCAAAAATGATCGTCTAGTTCATTCTGTGGATGCAGCACAAGAACTTTCAAAGGAAAGTGTGCGAGACTTCAATTTTTCTATCAAAGACACGGAAGCTCCTTACCAAGGATCGGAAATTTTTCACAAATCATCGGGAACTTCTCATCAAGATTCAGAAATTTCTCAAGCTTTAGAAACTTCTCATCAAGATTCAGAAACTTCTCATCTAGATTCAGATACTTCCCACCGAGATTCAGAAACTTCTCATCAAGATTCAGAAACTTCCCNTCTCATCAAGATTCAGAAATTTCTCAAGCTTTAGAAACTTCTCATCAAGATTCAGAAACTTCTCATCTAGATTCAGATACTTCCCACCGAGATTCAGAAACTTCTCATCAAGATTCAGAAACTTCCCATCAAGATTCAGAAACTTTTCAAGATTCAGAAACTTCTCATCAAGATTCAGAAACTTCTCATCAAGATTTAGTAACTTCTCATCAATATTCAGAAACTTCTCACCAAGATTCAGAAACTTCTCGAGATTCAGAAACTTCTCAAGATTCAGAAACCTTTCACCAAGATTTAGAAACTTCTCAAGATTCAGAAACTTCTCAAGATTCAGAAACTTCTCATCAAGATTCTGAAACTTCCCATCAAGATTCAGAAACTTCTCACCAAGATTTAGAAACTCTTCACCAAGATCCTCAAGCTGCAGATGAAAAAAATTGTATTGATACGGTAAGTTTGAGTTTAAATAGTTTACTTTATCATGCTCTTTAGCGAACATCTATACGACTAACCCAAAGCATATAGGCTTCCATTTTGACGGTAATTAGGTTGTGTTGTTTCATTTTAGCGTACTATTATTATTATTCCAGTGACTTGAATATTGACTATATTCACGGAAATATTTTCATGTGTTGCAAATAACCTTGCCAATATCACTTTCATGAATGATTGATAATTCATTTTATTGTAGGCTGGTAAGATTAACATTATGTATGGTCACCAATGCTATTTGTGTTCGCAGGTCGATAGGTTTTCCCGCCGCAAGCAGAGACGGAGTGCATCGAGTAACATTCCGGCCCACATACCTCCTGAAGTTGCCCGCTTCTACTCCAAGAGGTACAGGCTCTTCGGCCTCTACGACAGAGGCGTGCGACTTGATACCGGTGAGGCATGGGTCTTAATTACGGACCAGGCAATAAGTCCAGCAGCTATCTCAATCAATCGTCAGTTATGGAAAGATCGGGTTCCAAAGGCCGGATCCCTTGTGAATCAAGTCACGAAAAGTTCAAGTAGGAATGTTGAACTCGTTGTATTAATTAGTTTTTTTTTTTTTGTGATAGATGTTGAGATTAGTTAGTCTACATATGCTCGTCATATGCTTGTCATATGCTTGTTTGTTGATAATGCTGCCTGTCGATAATGATGTGCACATTTATTTACATTCATCTCAGCAGCATAATCATAATCAGCGATCTTATAATTGTGTGCTTGCGTTTATTTTTCTGAATTTGGTTCTGATGAAGCTCTGTGATATTGGTTGGTAATGAATCTTCTTTTTTTTTGACAAATGTATAATTTGAAAGGTGCAGCCTGTGCTAGAGATTCGCCAAGCCGGTAGAAGATGAGAAAGAGTTTGGTGAAGTTTTTGCCTTCAAAAGAATCAATATTATTACTCACTAAATTAGACCATACCATTCAACTAGTAGGTATTGAAAATAGCTCTAAAGTTGAATATAATTCATTCATATAAACGTCAATCGTGTTGTATTCGTTTAGTTGGCAAACATGCGCGTGTGCGCGAGCTGGTAAAGGACAAAAAATTAAACAATTGTTTGGAGTATGAACATTTAATTAGAAAGTTGTCACTTTGAAAAGGTCCTGCCTTGCAGACGTGAGTTCCTATAGACTTAACTTTTAACACACGGCTTTCCTTATCCGTTCTAGAATTGCCACAAACTTTTTAACTGCTAATAAGCAAGTCTCATCTCGTGTTTATGTGCAACCGTAAAGAACTCCTCTTTGATATTGTACGCGCATTATGACAAGTTTTCTTGCTGCACTTCATCTCACGTAACGCTTTCCGTGCCCCACAGAGAGCTGGTACAGCGTCACCGTTGAACACCTCGCCCGTCACCACGCTCAGCGTTGTCACTGGGCTGCCGTACAGAGTCACCGGCGTCACGCATTGCCTGCGACCAAAAAGACTTGTGGTGAAGCTGGGTCTGTCCCAAAATCTTGTGCCAGCTTTGAGACCCTCGATGAATCCATGAAGGAAGCTCCTGCATCACCTAACACCCAAGATTTCTCGTCGTCTGACGTGAACAGTTTAGTTACTTCTCCGCTCGGCGAGGCTAGCCGTTCGTATTCCTTGCTGACATCGCCAAAAACGCTGCCCACGCGAAAAACAACTCGGGTAGTGGACGGTTTTTGCGGTGCTGGAGGAAACGCAATACAGCTCGCCAAAATATTCGACGAGGTTATTGCCATTGACATCGATGAAAATAAAATCGACATGGCTCGTCACAACGCCGAGGTTTATGGCGTTCAATCAAAGATTGAGTTTCGTCGTGATGATTTCTACTCGGCCATCGAGCAGTGCGAGGTGAGGCTTTCTTGTACATTCGTGCGAATTGTATGGGATTTATTTGTACGAGAGTACCTTGCAACGTTTGTACAATTGGCTTAACTTAACATTTATTTAGCCGTATCAGCTTAGAATAAAGAGTTATATTGCAGAATATGCAATAAATGTTGCATTGATATGTATTCAATGGTACTGCAAATGACGGATAAATTTAGATATTTTCATCAGGCTCAAAATTTGTCTCGTGTCTTGTCGAATTTGACGTGCCATACTAACGTGTTGTTCATTAGTCGCGTCTTGGGACTAAGTGAATTTAACGTGCTAGGCTGACGTGTTTTTCATTAGTAATGTTTTGGGACTAAGTGAATTGACTGAATTCGACGTGTTTTTCATTAGTCACGTCTTGAGACTAAGTGAATTTAACGTGCCAGGCTGACATGTTGTTCATTAGTCATGTCTTGGGACTAAATGAATTTAACGTGTCAGGCTGACATGTTTTTCATTAGTCACGTCGTGGGACTAAGTGAATATGTCGTGTTGTTCATTATTCATGTCTTGGGACTAAGTAAATTTAACGTGGCAGGCTGACGTGGTGTTCTTGAGTCCCCCGTGGGGCGGTCTGGACTACAGCAGCGAGGAGGAGTTCGACGTCTGGCAGCTCGGCGTGCAGCAGATGCTGGATGCCGCCAGACGTGCTGCTCCCAACGCTGTCGTATTCCTGCCCAAGTCCAGCAGCGTCGATGCTGTGAGTATCATATGTCACCATTATTTTGATTATTTTTAAAGAATTCTTACCAGAAACTGAAATTAAATCCTTACCAGCAGTTGGATTAATAGATAATAATCTGTAACTAATGATCTTTCATCTCGCGAGCAACCTTTTTCATCTAGTCTTCTAGAGACATCTCTTTGTGTCTGACATAGTTTTTCCAGTTCTTTCTAGTATTTCATACGAATGCATGCAAATTCCTTTGATCCATTTGACTGGTAAATAGTGGTAATTTACTTTTCAGGAACAAATTCGTTCATTTTGATCATATCTAAAGGTTCATGAAGTTGCACAAGAAGAACTTCATGTAGTTAGTCACTTCTGTACGTATTCCAGATAATTTCACTGGCCGGGGAGTTCGGCAGCGTAGACATTGAAGTGAACTACATCAACTCGGTTGCTCACTCGATCACCGCTTACTACGGTCCCGACATCGTCTCCTACAGACGGACTAACAAGTTCGTTAACTCGGCCTGCGGTCTGATGGACAAGGCGGACGCAGAGGCTGCCAGGGTGCATGAGAACGTCCTCAGGAAAGGCCGGTCGCCGTTTGACGTTCAAGATCATTAGGAATTGTCACGGGATCCTAATTTTCTGGAACCAGAACTTACTGAGGAACGTGATCTATATATTAATTGATCTCAATTCATCCATGTATGAAGATTTGAGGAAACGTGATCTCTAATATTCTTTTGTATTTATTTACATTCAACCATTATGGAAGGTTCAAAATTTCGTTTGTAAGAGGTAACGCATTCAATATTCCATCAGAACTTTAGCACTTGCTCAGTTTCCGATGATGTGCGTATATATAATTACCGAGATGACTATTTCACTTGCAATAAACAATTTGTTGACAGATAATTTGGTATAGATAATCCAGTGAAGTTTTACTATGACCGGATTTCTATATTACTAAGTAGTGTTACAGTGAAATGACATTATTTTACGGTTCTGAACCTTCGACAAGAGGTCGATAACTCAACTCCTGCGTTTTTGAACCTTGAATAAGTCACGTATGGGTTTGACATCGCCTTGCTTGTGCGCTGTGCTTGAAAGTTTCGAGAGTTGAACATTTTATTATAATGACGAAACTAAAATCTCGCTTATTCCTAAAACTTATTGTGGGATTCTTTGAAAATTTATGAATTTAAATAAATTCCAAATTAATTTTCATTCAAACTTACGTGGCGGAAACTAGTATTATAGTCTGCACACGATTTTGTTTGATTTGGGATCCCAGATTCGTTAACCGGAATTTTTGAGTGATAGATCTACTTGGGCATAAATTTGGTGCAAAAATCGTGTCAATTGATTTTCATGAGACGATCTTTTATTCGGCATTCTTGATTTGCAATAAGTTATACGGCTGTTTTTACAGCTTTCGCCCCATAAGTGGTTTTGCATCGACTGAAAAATTACAGATGTTAGTTCTTTGCAAGTTTGATTTTGCCACGACTTATTTCTTTTTGAATATTTTCACTCTGAGTGACCTCTGCATACCAGTGAAAATAAGCTGGTTCATATTTTTTTTTCATTTTGATTGCTATTTCCTCAAGATGCCGTCAGAGGAACATGTATACGCCGCCATGATGTTTCTAGTGTTCTCAGCCTACAGATCACTTAGCAGCACATTTACTTATTTTCTTCAGTGTTTTGGTTCACAAGGCGATTTATTATCATAGATTCCCCTGCGTTGACCCACTGAACTTGTCTCAGGTTTTTCTCTGAATATTGGGGCGGCACTGCGTGCTGGTTAGATTATTTGCTAGTTCAGTTTATTTGTTACTCTCTATGATTATCTGGAAATATCAAATGCATTGTTTGGTCTCTTATTATATTATTGAAGAACTCAATGCTTTCTCATTCATCTTTCTTTGCTTTTATCTACTTATGTTTATTTTTATCTATTAGGAAAGGTTAAATTTGTGAGCTATGCAAGATTTTTATTAGCGGAAGTAAGCATTGCGAAGTAATAATTGATCAATTGATATCCAGTGCCTGTTAACGGATATGATGTCTTTGGCATTGTTAAGAGTTTTTGTGGCTATGATGTACTATCATAAGTGGATTACAATGACCAATTGAATTGAGGTTATGTTCAGTAGCCTAGTCTGTAAGTAGGGTTTATATGCGCAATTGGGAAAGATTTCACAGATCTTGCATTTATTTTACCAATATTTTAGTCCATGTATTGAGACTTCAGGTATTTATTTTTTATGAGCTTTGTTTGAACAGCATGCTGTTAGTCTAAGTTGTTTACAGGTATTAAAAATTAATTTTAAGCTAAATTCGCCTTCATTATGGCTGTGAAAAACTCTAGTTTTATGATTCCGTAAAGGCTCAGTGCCGAACTTTAGTAACTGATTATCGAAAATACGCCAATTCTGACGGTGTCCACCATCATAACCTTTTCTTCTGAAAACTTAACTTTAAAAAAACTCAATCGTTCACTAATGATACGATGATAAACGGTATCGGTAACCATCGGTAACATCATCACTGCGTAATTAAGATTTGCAGGATTACGAATTTTCTGTGCGAGAAACTGAAAACTTGCTGTACATTTATATAACCACTGGCAGGACATCGCTGTGAGCAGTATTTTACTCCTCGCTTAAATAGTCTCTTACCATCATTATTCTCGCTGCTATGACTGAATTTCAGAACTAAATATTTGAGGTATTCTCAATGCAAAGATTTTGAACATTGTGGCTTAATGTAGAGTTTGGAATGCGTATTTCATGTGTCTTGCGATACGCAGAGACGTGATGTTGAATCTCGGTGATCTCGTCAACTAAGCAATAATAAATAATTGTATTGATTTATTTTGAGCCTATTGTTGGCGTCAAATTACTCACGATTACGTTTTTATGCACGGACGCTTGCCGCGTGTCACCGCGTCTCGATTCCTGTTCATCCTCGGCATTGGTCCATCATTTTTCCCTAGCAATTTGAGACCATATACCAGCGCGGCATTCTCGTTAGTTCTCAAGGTATCTGTAAGTTATAAGTAAACTTAGTTTGTAATCGTAAAAAGGCGAGTGAAGTAGGATTAAGTGCATGATGAGTGTACCGCCAGAATTCATTGCGGAGTGTTGGGCTCCTTATATTATTTGATAAGATAACTACTGTACTATGTTCAAGACTTCGTTTCGATGTCCTTGTCTTTTTTAATTTTATATATAAATAATTATCTGGGCTGGACAATTGAGACCTTCCGCCCCTTGTGGGTGATGAATAATTGAGACCTTCCACCTCTATGGTGATGTTCATTTTGACTTTCGGTGCGAGATAGCTAAATAGCTGAAGCGCTAGTAAACATTTGGCCACTAAACTAACTAACTAACTAGTCTTGTGCGTTATTCACTCGGACTGGATTCGTCATTGGTAGCAAAAAGCTCGTGTCATGGCTATAGTTAATAGGCTCAGGCTGATCGCTGGTCATCTATTTTCAGTCACTTTTCGTTCAGTACCGTTTGACCGCTAGAACCTTCTTGCGTTGACAGCCGAGTAATTTACGACGTACAGAAAGCTTGTTGTTTTCTTATTTGTTGTTGTTCCTTCGCCGTTATGGGTCCTTTTAGTATTCGAGACTTTAGCTCCACATGTGAACATTCTCGTCTGAATAAATATTGGTTCCTATTATCTACAACAAGGAGGCTGATCGAGAAAAGTCACATATACTGTAAAGTACAAGAAATGTTGCTTAAAAAACTTATGAATCGGTCTGTAACCTTTCCTAAGATACGGTTCAATGGTAATTTGTAAACAAGGAATTGCTGGCATTTTCTTGCTTTTCCTTCTTAAATTGAAGCCAAAAATTTTTCCCTAAAAGCTATGAAGGCTGTGAAATAGGCCACACAGTCATTGAGAAAGATGTCCTTCAAACGTCAAGGTCCGTTATTGTTATTCCTTGGCAGTTTAGACGCTCACTCTTCACATGTCAAGCTCCGTTATTCCTTGACAGTTAGACGCTCACTCTTCCCATGTCAAGCTCGGTTATTCCTTGGCAGTTTAGACGCTCACTCTTCACATGTCAAGCTCGGTTATTTCTTGGCAGTTTAGACGCTCACTCCTCACATGTCAAGCTCGGTTATTTCTTGGCAGTTTAGACGCTCACTCCTCACATGTCAAGCTCGGTTATTCCTTGGCAGTTCGGGCGTAAGCTCGCAGAAGGACAATCCAAATTTACAATTAATATAAATTCGTATCACGCAAGGCAAAAGCTTCAGGTTGCGCGTTATGTTTTATAATTCGAAGACGGATGATGTTGCCCAACAGCAGCGATCCTGAGGTATAAACTTGAGTTCAGCAGTGATTCTTTCACATTGCCTTGAGCGCAAGAGCCTTGAATAGTTTACATTCCTACGCCGCAATAAAAGATTTGAATGCAAATTCATTAATTATTACGATTTATTAAGGCTATTGTAGATGACTAAATATTGACGTTATAATACATTTTATTGTTGTGATATTGCTTGTGTGATGTGACTCATTAGTCATTAGCAAGAAGACAATTAATTCTCTTTGTTACTGAAGCATTGTGAAAGTTTTGACCATAGGAGCTTCTAGCACAAGATCAAACCAGAACCAAGGCTTAACAGATTCGTCATATTGAAATTTTTTTCCTTGCATTGAAGCAGTTGTAACTGTTCCATTGAAAATGTGTCTTAAATATCATTAAAAAAGTATACATTTTTGTCGATTTGTTTATTTGAATTTTATTTTTATGAATAAGTGAAAATGTGTGTACCTAGGGTTATCCGTCTTGCTGTGAACCTGCGAAAAAGTGTCAGTAATTAATTAGGATTAGGAAAGCGTCACGTTTACATGGAAATCTGCATAAATTTGACTAAATTATTCGATTTACTAATTACAGAAAAGTCACCTAAATTACTAATTACAGAAAAAGTCACCTACTGAATGAGGCTTAGCTATAAATTAAAATTGACAATTTCGAATTAAGATTAAAAATCTCAATTACACAGTCAGCGTAAAAAAGTTAACTTCTTCTATTATTGTTTACCTTTCATCTTAATCCCAATTGGTTATACAGCATGAAATCACCATTCAAAATAATTTAAACTCATTCCAGATGTTCTTCCAAAGTCCAAGTTCCTCTTCTCTTGACTAAAGGCAAAAATTGTTCCAAGTTCGAATTTTCTTGAAGAATAGAAAAATCCTTACGCAGAGCGCATCGGATAAATAAATGGTAACACTATATTATAGCTAGAGACAAAATTTTCTTTAAAAGTTTCCTGAAAACTATGAATGTGTATTTTACGGTTATGATCGAAAAGATCACGGTTATACAATTCTAGCAAAATATACATGACATATGTTACGAAAATATTTGCTGGTATGTTGATCGAAATTCGGATTTGAAAAATATTAATTGTCTGAACTATTTAAAAATTATTCGAAAAAAAATTGATAACGTTAGGGTACTGCTGCTCATTAACTTCCGTATACAATCAATATTTAATCATAATAATACATAATTATTGCTCATAGAACAAATGCTCATGAAAAATTTTCTCACATTTTTCACGTTTTCAGGTTAGCTTTACCTTCTCGGCTTTTGTACTGGCTCTTGCGTGGCCAGTCATCGTCGTCGGTGAGAATGTGGAATCATCAGCCTACGACACTAGGCAGAAAAAATTTTCCGGAGCAGAATACGGAACAAACGCCGATGTCCGGTTCCAAGCGCACCCAAATAACAGCAATTATTATTCAAATAATGCGTGGGATGGTCACACCATAAATGCTACTCGTGGAACTGATCCATCAGATCCAAATATCGAGTATGGGTCACGAAGAGGATCATTTACAAGTGATCCGACAAGATTGGCTAGTGGATGGCCAGAATATTATCAATCTCGTGGATCAACTTCAAGTTATCCTGCTGGGTCATTCAGCTGGTCGTCCCAGAATTATTCATCTGGATCGACTACAGGGTCAACTCAAAGTTATCCATCTGGGTTATTCAGCTGGTCTTCCCAGAATTATCCATCTGGATCGGCTAGCTGGTCTTCCCAGAATTATCCATCTGGATCGACTACAGGGTCAACTCAAAGTTATCCATCTGGGTTATTCAGCTGGTCGTCGCAGGATTATTCATCTGGATCGACTACAGGGTTAACTCAAAGTTATCCATCTGGGTTACTCAGCTGGTCTTCCCAGAATTATCCATCTGGATCGACTACAAGGTCAACTCAAAGTTATCCATCTGGGTCATTCAGCACGTCTTCCTTGAATTATTCATCTGAACCACAAAGAGAAATATCTCAACGTTATCCCGCTGGTTCATTCAGCGGGTCCTACTCGAATTATTCATCTGGATCAGTAAGTGGATCATCTCAAAGTTATCCTGCTGGGCTATTCAGCGATTCTCCCTGGAAATATTCATCTGAATCGGCTTCTCCAAATTCTTCATTTGAATCAGACAGAGGTTCGTCTCAAAATTATCCATCAATATCAGACAGAGGATCAGCTAACAATTTTCCGTCACAATCAGACAGAGGAGCGTCTCAAAATTATCCATCAAAATCTTACAGAGGATCAGCTAACTATTTTCCGTCACAATCGGATCAAAATTATGCATCGGGATCAGATTGGAGAACAACTCAAAACAATCATTCAAACTCAGTTCAAAATTATCAATCAGTATCAGACAGGGGAACTCCAAACATATATCCATCTGGATCGGCTGGGAATTACAATACGCCAGGAATAGTGCAATCGGATAGTGCATCATTTTCTACAAGTATCGGGAATAATTTCACTACGTATTCCGATGCAACGAAAAAGTTTGAGTACGAATGGAAATTTCCGAATCCTCAATTCACACAGAATTCTGGTATCGCATCATCGGCACCCAATTTCACGAGTCAGAATTACGGCCAAAGTTATTCGAGTCCGAATAATTTAACACAATATTCAGGTTCTTCTACAAACTTTTCCAAAGATCTATTGTATATGAACTCTAATTTTGGTCTCGAAGCTCAGAAGGCTCCGACTGAGGAGGATCTTGGTTCCTTTCTCTTTTTAGAGCACGAAAAGAAAACCAACTCCACAAAAAAAGTGCAATTCCTATTGAAGCAGCGCTTGGCAAATGACTTGAACGACTATCACCATTCAGTATCAAAGAACCCTTATCGACGAGACAGACCAAGCTCTATTAAAATATCACCGTTCGAAGAAAAACGGCTTAGCGGTCAAACCAAGCCTTACGAATCTTTTCAGTCGCGATATTACGTCGAGGATATCATCCCATTCACTATCTTCAAGAAGGAGAGTAATGTTGGGTGATTGCTATATTCAAGCTTACAACATAATGACCTTATATACCGATATAAACTACTATAGGGACGACCAGATCTGATTATTCACATCAATTATTCACATTAAAAACAGCGTTGTCTGAAAATTTTTCGCAAGGAATTTCTTACTATAATTTTTGACGTAGTGATGAGGGAGGGTGAAGTGAGATCTAGCCAATATAATAATTACGAAATAAGATAATATTAATGCGAGTGTCTTAATTTTAAAAGTTTAATTTTATTGTTTGGGAACAGCAAAGAGATTTAAAACTTATTAGAATAAAATTCAAATTATGAAAACTTCCTCTATGCCTGTTATGACCAAGTGACTCATTTCATATGCTTAATTGTATATATTTGTACGTATATTTAGTTTATACCGTTGTTGACATGAACCTTAAGTGAAATGTTTCGATGTTAATTTTTGTTGATTTTGAATTAATGGGATAACTTGATGATTTGATACACGTTAGAGTTCTTCGCAAGAATCCATTTCTTTGGGATTTCGCACTTGAGAAAAAATATCTTTGTACATATCGAGATGGACTACAAACAATGGAACTATCCAGGTCCAAGTGCCTATGTATTCTGTAAAAATACGTCTTTCTATAAAAATTCGTGTTCATCTCGAGAAAAAAACACAGCTGGAAACTCAATAGAATAGAATAGAAGTGTCGGCACTGAAGAATCGGCTATGCCAGTAGCCGATTCATGTACTTTTCGTGACTTGATTCACAAGGGATCCGGCCTTTGGAACCCGGTCTTTCCATAACTGATGATTGATGAACAAACAATGGTACAGTTATCAAAAAACTTCTGACAGGCGAGCAAAGTCGTTAATGGAGAGAGACTCATTATGAGATCATCACTAATAGAAGATTGGTGAAGAAGAAAGTTTTGCAGGGCGAAGATTGCACAGCATCGTCATGTGATGCCCCAAGCTTGCACCAGCATCGTCATGCGATGCCCCAAGCTTGCACCAGCATCGTCATGAGATGCCCCAAGCTTGCACCAGCATCATCATGTGATGCCCCAAGCTTGCACCAGCATCGTCATGCGATGCCCCAAGCTTGTTCCAGCATCGTCATGTGATGCCCCAAGCTTGCACCAGCATCGTCATGGGATGCCCCAAGCTTGTCCCAGCATCATCATGTGATGCCCCAAGATTGCACCAGCATCATCATGTGATGCCCCAAGCTTGCTCCAGCATCGTCAAGCGATGCCCAAAAATTTCACGACTGGTGATATCTGAAAAGAAGTCGTCATCAGCTTTTATAAGCTGGCCTTGCAATAACTCCAGCAGTTATCTATATCAATTCGTCAGTTATGGAAAGATCGGGTTGCTAAGCCCGGACCCCTTGTGGAATCAAGTCACGAAAAGTAAAAGAATCGGCAACAGGCCATGGGCCTATTTCTTCAGTGCCGACACTTCTATTCTATTCCATTCTATCAATTCAGTAATCAAACTTGACTTGATAGGGTTTAAATTTTTTCGGTGTGAGTTGTTAATCAATATCCATAATTATTAAATTGCTTTCAATGTCTTGTCAAAATATAAATTTATGCGTTGCAAACCCATTTTTTTGTGTGAATCAATGCATGTTCGAAACACCATATTAACAGAAAAAAAGTTTATTAGAAACCCGATCCTCGAAATTTTAAATTCAAATTAATCCGTCATTTGTAAAATTTAGAAAACAATCGACAAATGTTAGTACCAGTTAAACAATATTCTACACTCTACAATAAAAGTTGCCTAAAAGGAACAAGTTCTGCCTATCTATGCCAGTAAATGTACATATCCAGAATTATAGTACATATTCAGAGAATAGTAACTCTAAATGCTCATTTAACCTATACTTAACCGCCCGGCCTCCTTGCCGATTCTGACCAGAAACTGGCGCACAGAGCTGGGATCGAACCCGCGCCTCTCTGCGCCAATCTTGGTACTCTGAACGTTAACCGACACCTTGCTATTGCTCGAGACACCTAAAATAGGCAGTAAATTTTTGCATAAATATGATCGAAAATGATAATAGACCTTTCCCTTTTTGGATGATCGAAACGAAATTTAAATCTATCGAAAAATTACAGTTTTCTGATCTGATTAGCAAGAAGGATCGGCCCATTAGAGAGGAGACTTCGATTTAACCCTCTACAGCAGTATGTCTCTTTCCGGGAACATAACATTCAACTTAAATTATACTTAAACTATTTAGTGTAGCAACCTGAGGACGTTTCTACGCAACAGAGAACATTTTAAAGTTATCGTACGTGGCGGCAACCATCAGTGCAAGTCATTTTGCGCTCACTAGAACGTATCCTTTTTGGGAAGTATGCGCGTGACAATATTGCTCCAGTTACTCGTGTCAGGCGGTACCGATTCGACACTTCAGCGAACTCGCGTGCGAACTCGCGTGCGAACTCGCGTGCGAACTCGCCTGCGAGCTCGAACTTCATTTTCAACTCTGGCACTCATAACTCCTTCAATTATGAACGGATTTTATTCAAATTTGAAATATAAGTAGATAATATCAGTACGCTGCGGAGAGTATTTTTTTCAAATTTTTTCATCGATAATTTTTTTTTAATACGGAAAACCTAACTTAATTTTCAACTCTGGCACGCATAACTCCTTCAATTATGAACGGATTTTATTCAAATTTGAAATATAAGTAGATAATATCAGTACGCTGCGGAGGGTATTCAGGCGGTAGAGGGTTAAAATAGTGAAGGTTCCAGAACCTATGTTACGTACCCATGTTGATGATAATATTATCATTCACAGCTTCTAAACAGTCCCAGCTCACATCAATACATGTTAATTATTTTTCAATGACTTTCTCATTCGTTAAAACTTACAAGGAAAAATCTGTTGTGGTCAGCCTAATATGAGAAACCGTTTTAACTTCTCTGCCAGTTTTTTCGCCAAAAATCCTCTTTTTGTGACAGTAACAAAACTTCTGGCATCGATATGACATCGGTATTCCAGGGAGCACGTAAGTCGTAACTGCCAAAGAAAGAAAATGTGAAAATATCTCGCACAGGAGGAACTACTCAAAGTACGAAGAACTAACTACTTATGGACATTGTATTACTATCAGTTGTTCTAAAGTTAAAACAGAAGTTAACTTAATTTATACCATGATCTGAACGAAGAACATTGGTCCTCGAAATAATTTTCGTAAAAAATGTTCATGCAATCAACGATAATGCTTAGTTGAGTTCAACTTGAGTATTATCGGAAATTTTGTCCGATTTAATCGAGCCAACTTCGGAAAAATTATGATAATATAATATCAATTAAATTAATTTATACTAATTTTAACATATTGAATAGTTAGACGGTCGCTTATTCTTATAATGCCCTTGACTTGTTGTGGCGGTTGAGAATGTAATGAATTATGTATTCTTTAACATGTTTCTATTAGTCGGTACAGTTATGAATAGTTTATTCAGAGATCTTCAACATTGTATTAAGGGCAGGTACAAATTGAACAATTTGGAGAAGCGACTTGCATAAAGGTAATTGTGGTGCTGGCGCCTTCTTGTGAATGAGTGACAGAGACAGGTAAGATGAACCGATTATTTTTTCGTCAAAGAACTCAAAGAGCCTCTGAAAACTTGTTAACAGATATTTACAGATATTAACTGATTACGGTACGAACCCGTATGTCAACGTCGGGACTATGTTACCTTCCCGACAGCCGACACTATTGTCTCTTGGAGATCTAAGATCGTAACAAGCCTTTTGACCAGATCTATTAAAAACCGATGTTGAAGCACTGTACCTGCTGAACATCTATTAATTTGTGAGGTGGGAGGCACTTCTAGTCGAAATATATACTTTGCTTTTATTTTTATTTTTTATATATACTTTCAAATTCTTCTTCAACGCTTTCTTACTCGAGGCGTCAATGATGCCAGCATAGACGCATCGGACAATTTTACGGCCGGAGCATTAGTTTTGGAGATCTTCCTTGATTATTGATTATGCAGACCGGCCGCGAGTCCGGCGAGTCCGGCCGTAAAACTGTCCGAGACGTTCAGCTCCAGCATAGGAACAAATGGCTTGAATTTTTCCCACGTGCGGATTGTGTCTACTAAGTTTCATTCGTGAACCGTAACAATGATAACATAGTTGCAAAATACAATACTTTTCAGTTTTTCGTGAACATAGAACGTACTCAAAATGTAATAAATGTACTTAAATCTAACAAATTAGAGTCGTGTCGTAATTTCTTATTCTGTAGGCGTCGCGCCTGACGCCAAGGCCATAATTAGGAGCAGCAAACACAATCGTTTGTGTAGAAAAAAAAAACACTGCCTGGCAACTTCAGTTCGAAGTGAAAAAAAAAAACACTGCCTGGCAACTCTAGTTCGGCGCCTCAAGAAGATACCGCTATACGTCTTCATTACTCGTCACTCTCTCAGAAAAACCAGTCAAGTTCAGGTTTGATTCAATGTTCAAGAATGGAAAGACCTTTGAAGTGCTTCTTAAACGTGAGTAGTGCAAATGGAAATACATTACAAGTGAAGTGTATTTCGCTAATGAAATGTATGTACTAATTAATTAAAATAAGATTATGTGGACGCAGATTAACATTAAGATCTGACATCATAATTCTATGCCTGATCTTTGTCGTAATGAAGTTGTTACTGTGAAGTATTTGCAACAATAATTTCAATAAATGTATGCCAAGTTGAAGCCGGCAGTGCAATTGTCATCTAAGACTTCCATGCGTTTTACTTCGATTCCATCGAAACTAACAAAATTTCAGCGGGCTAATTAATCCATCTTGCATGGCTGATCTAACATATTGTTGAGCAAGCTTTTGTGTTTATTTGAAACTTGACTTGGAGTCATGCGTACCATCGATGAACATGATGCAGAACATCATTATGTTCTCCTCGTCATGGATGATGAGATTCGCAATGACGAGATTCGTGACAACTGGATTCCAGCTGGGCAGCGCTACTTTGAAATCTAGCGGCGCTACCGCTACATGCTCTAAATGTAGCGGGCGCTACCGCTACCGCTACACCCACTAGATTGTATATGTGGTGGCAGCTGGCACGGAACAAGAACAAGTGGTAACTGGTAACAACTTAACAAGTAACAATTAACATGTTGACACTACAGGCTGAGGTTGACAACATTACACCGAAATCTTTTGTACAGTTTTATTCTGTAATTTATATTATGTAGGTATCATGCTGGTTTTTAAATAATATTTAATACTATTAAGTAAAATCTAAAGGCTTTATCTATAAATTTAGCGGTAGTGCTGTAGCGGCAAAACCTCGTATCGCTTAAATATGTAGCGGGCGCTACCGCTACCGCTACATTGCCTTAAATGTAGCGCCGCTACCGCTACATGTTGCGCGCTACTGCCCACCTCTGCTGGATTCTCATATTCAATGCACTATCTATCCCGGGTAACACTGGGTTGACCTAGTTTTCTATAAAATGTTATTTACAACTTTAGTTGTAAATCCATCTGGATCTATTGAATTCAATTTTTCAGGTCGCGTTGTGGGCAGTGATCATTCATTTGCAACTGGACTTTTCGACTTCGCATCCGGTTATGCGATTTCATCCCCAGGAGGTCGTTGAAGATGAGGGCGTAAGTAACTTGAAAAGTCCCAGGTATAAGCCAGTATCAAGTTATCGACTTCAACTTGAGCAAAAACCAAAGCCTAAATCAGTAAGTCCTGATAATTTGCTCTTCCAGCCTAAACCAATCGTTAGGAAAGAGAATGAAACTGAAGATAAATTCGACACGGTAGTTGGATCCCCTACCGACGTATCCGGATTGGAAGTTCCCACCGATGCCTATCAACTAAATAAAATCTTTTCAAGTTTGTCAAGCACTAACCAGAGTGACACAGAATCTCAGTATCCAACTCTTCTCACAAAGCTTTGGGAAAAATATATAGAACTTTTAAATTCAACACGGAGAACGAATTTTACCGATGGTAGTACGGAATCCGAGGAATCCACTACTCAAATAAACGACGAATTATATACTTCCGAATCTCCAGATTTTGTTAACAGTTCCAACAGAAATGCGACATCATCATCATCAGGTAACTACAATAAAATATTCCCGAGTCTTCGTTGTGAATCACTTGTGGGTGCTTGCTTTGATGAGCGAACTGATTCAATTCTTATCCGTGGTGAAGAAGTGGCACCTACGCCGCCTAATTTACAAGGAATGCATTTAGAAAAACCTCAAGATCGAGCAGATAACTTACCAGCCGCACATCTGGAGGAGGCCCGAAATGAACCTTCCCATTCACCTGACACATACATGGTAAAAACTATATTTCCTGATGCTGATTTGCCGACTATACATGTGGAAGGATCTCCAATTCGTGTTTCTAATTTACCAGCCATACACGCAAGAGAACCTCAAATTCGCAATTTGCCGGACATCCATGTGCAAGAGCCCTCAATTCACCCGGTTAATTCTCCAACCGTACCTAGAGGAAATCCCGTTCCTAACGTACCAAGTCGATATTTAATTTACAATGATTCAAAGACCTACGATTATTATTCAGACGATTTTATTCCATTCCTCTCATTATATTATGACTCTCTGCCTGGAAAACCCTGGCAAAATTTAGAATCTGTTACAATGACTGATCAAATTAATCCATCCGACAAGTCGGATCACTTAGAAACAAATAATTCAAAATTCCATAAAAGCGAACCAACTGAAATCAGCATGAATGGGCTAAGAGTTCCTATCACAAAATCGGATACATTAGTAGATTCGTTGATCATTGAGCAAAACGATTATGCACATACTTTTAAGTCTCATCGAGAACCGATGGCAAGAAAACTATTGCCTCTGGCAGTTGAAGCAAACTTTCAAGAAATCGACAGACATAATACGAAGCAGTCGTTCTTGACTAACAGTATTCTATTAGGTGCCAATTCGAAAATAAACGATACTGCTCGAACAGATGTTGAAAAAGCGGATGAGAAGAACATACATGAAAGATTTTCGAGTAAATTTAACAATTTTCCAATCCCAAATTTTAAATCTAATCAAGACATAGCCGTAAACGCTCAGAATTTTGTCCCTGATATTAGTAAATTATTCAATTCTGAAACCACTGAAAACTATCCTGCAACGAATGAAAAGTATATTGTCTACTTAGGACGAGATTATGCGACAGATGCTAGCCAAAATATCCCGCATGTGACCTTTAACAACGATTACAGATATTCGCCCTCTTTTAATGATCTCAATCATTCACATCATTCAATTGGAGAACTATTTTTTGAAAATATCTTTAACAATGTATCGAACACAATTTTTCCTGACGAAAAAGAAGAAAACACATCAGAGGAGGAAGAAAAATTTTCTTTTTATGCTACTCCAAGTTCTTCCTTCAAGAGCATGGATTATAAATCAGAGAGTCTGAATACTGCTGAACCAGAGAATCAGACTTCAAATGAAAGTCATTCAGAACAAGATCACATAGTGAGGAACGACATAGAGAATATTCACGGCACATTGAAAAGTGTTTTCCAAAGGGCTGCTTCCGAAATTTCGGACGAAAATCGCTATAGCTCGGACGGAATTTTTTCTCACGACCATTTGGATGAAGGCAATGAAAACCGGGACTCGTCGATAACAGACGATCCAACAAATAATTCACCTGATACCGGAGTTACCAAGTATGTCAACTATGAAAATAAGATAAAAACTCCAATCTTATTCTTGGCTGAGGATAAATATCTTGATGGGTCGTACAACTTCGAATATCGTTCAGCTGATGGAACATCGCGTCAGGAAGTCGGAACCGTTCTTGGAGAGGGTGGAATCCGGCAGCATGGACGTTTCGCGTGAGTTACAGTATATCATATTACCTTATTCATAGTTATAAGTGATATCCACAAAATTATGGCCAAAGTAAATGGTTTTAGATAGCTTCATTAGTCATGGATGAATGAAGAGTCAGAATAAAAAATGATTAATTTACTGTATTGATCAATTGATTCTATTTCGTAGTGAGAAGTCTCAACTGTTTATTGAAACACATAGTAATTTGGGTGTCGGAAATTCTGGGATGTAACGCTAGAATTTTTGCAGGTTTAGGAACGGCAATGGCTACGAGACAAGAGTGGTCTACACAGCCGACGAAAAAGGATATATTCCAATTATATCTTACAGTAATTCATCTTAGATTTAATATGCAGTTTAAAAACAACTGTCGTTCGTCGATAATCTCACTTAATGCACATCAACCCCCTACACCTTTACAACGAATGCCGAACTTTATTAACACTTCAGTTATCCAGAAGTTTGTAATTTCTTGTGAATGTGCACAAGATGTTTATGTTTATAGGAAAAAAACAATGTTGACTAATCGCAATTTTAATTAATAATTATGATGCAGCTCAAAATTCATTAGATTAGATTAAAGTAATATGAGAAGTTAAAAACAGAAAAATTATACAATGGATAAATAAATTAATTAATTGCAAAGCTGCAATACCGCAGGGCAACAGCGTAAAATTCTACGTTTTAATCTCGCAGTCTACCATGAGTACAGCTCAGCTCCACCTACATATTTCATTGCACAGACTGCTAAAAGTAGTTCCATTTTCTCGCACGTACTATCATAAGAAGTTATAAATATACAGAATGGATTTGCTACATCTATCGGGAAATTAACACTTTACGAGTCATCCACTCAAGCATAATAGATGAATAATATTCAATTAATATTCAATTTCAGTAGATAGAATTTTCACCTCATTTTAACCCTCTTAAAATTTTAGTCTCAGATTTTGGATTAGTGAGAGTTGAAATAAATTCTGTAACATAACTTTGTGCATCTGAAATAGTGATGTGGTGTTGCATATCTACTATGTAATATTAGATCCACATTTTATTCATCAAGTTCATGGCGATGAGAAATATGTTGACAAAATATGGTATGGACAGATACTTCAGGAATATTAGAAGTATAATATTAGAATATTTATGTATAATAAACAATTGAGCAATATAGCAATTGTTTAGACATAGCGTATGTTAATATTAAATGACAGATTAAGCTTATCTAAGCACGGTTGGTTATTGGTCAGAGAATTGATAAATTTTAATTTTTAGTGTCGAAGAATATTCTTTACATAACGTTGGTTAATCAAATGCAGGTGTAAGGAAGTAACTTTAATTTATTAACGACGTTTGAATGTAACAACTTTCATTTTCAAGTTATAGGAAACATTGAATATAGAAATTTTGGTGCAAATAAGTACATAAAACAACAATCTAATACAACAGGAAAATTTTTAACCTTGAAAATAATTGCGAAACAATCTCAAAACTTAGAAAATCATTGAATGCTCTGGCTATTAACCACCCGTGTTTAAATATAGCATATACAGCAAATGCAAAAAATTAAAATTCAAATTTTACATGTCTTCTTTAACATTTTTACTCGATCTCCAGATTTACGTACCAAATCTTTTTCCTGGAAATTATCGAAAAATAAATTTCCCAAACGAAATGCCTGATGCAAAAGGGCAGGTAAAAGATATCTTCGTATCTTGAAGAATAGAATTGATAAATTTAAATTTTTAGTGTCGAAGAATATTCTTTAGACGACGTTAGTTAATCAAATGCAGGTTTAAGGAAGTAACTTTAATTTATTAACGACGTTTTGAATGTAACAACTTTCATTTTCAGGTTATATGAAACATTGAATATAGAAATTTTGGTGCGAATAAGTACATAAATCAACAATCTAATACAACAGGAAAATTTTTAACCTTGAAAATAATTCCGAAACAATCTCAAAACTTAGAAAATCATTGAATGCTCTTGCTATAAACCACCCGTGTTTAAATATAGCATACATAGCAAATGCAAAAAAAAATTCAAATTTTAAATGTCTTCTTTAAAATTTTTACTCGATCTCCAGATTTACGTACCAAATCTTTTTCCGGGAAATTATCGAAAAATAAATTTCCCAAACGAAATGCCTGATGCTAAAGGGCAGGTAAAAGATATCTTCGTATCTTGAAGAACATTTCACAAGAAACGAGAAATTAATGTGATTTTAAGTTCGAAGAGCGCGTCATTAATTTATTGAATTGTGATAGTGGTTTCAAAATGAAATTCTTTTTAAGTTTACAAACACAATTATTGCATCGTTTGATATCTATTATCAAGTTTGAAGTCACCTCTCTCGTTTGGAATTACCGAGATCTCACTTAACTTTGATCATATTATTGTAAGATATAGAATTTAAGACTTTATTCCCACCTTTCAAGTTTTCATTTTAAATAAATAAATTAACTGTATTAATTAAGTACAGAATCTGCATACACAGTTTATAACATTATACCAGCAAGAAGCCTTTAATATTTTTCCGCACATGATTACTTACTTTTACATTACATTACTTCTATATTAGTTTACTTTTACATTACATTTGAGATGCATTGCGGCTCCTAAATAGTATTCGGCATCGGACGCATCAAGTGAATTTGACTTGTGCATCGCTAAAAATTCTTATTTTTTTGCTATATCTTTAAGATTATATTTTATTTTCTGTTCAGCGTGCAATGCTGCCATGGATTTGCTTAACTTTTTTTCCTATTATCTCAGGCTTCAAATGTTTTCTACGGAAGGATGATTCAAGAAAATTGAAGGGAAAACATTTTGTGAATCATGAAGCGGTGAAATTATAAGTCTTCGAATTAATGTTTGACTTATGAACAACAAACAGATTTAATTAAAAATTTGAATGCGTTTTTCCGCTGGAGAAAGAAATTTGTGCTGAAAAATGGTTTGAACACTAAATTCTGTCACTTACGTATTTGTTCAAATCTCGAGTCAATTTTTTAAATGATAAAAATGTTCTTCTTATTGCCGTCTTCACATTCAGTCCGTGAAATGAAACCAATAACAATAAGCTATCTTGTATTGTTTATTTATTACCCAGGACATATCTGGGAGAAATTCTTGTTATAAATTAATAATATGAGCAAAAAGAATATAAATACATGTACCTAAAATTATCTCTATTTAAATATTGTTCTTGCTGAGTACATTCTAGTATCCTAAAAGGTTTATCATGAAAATTGTCTTTGTACACTTTACATGCCGTTATAAAAAATATTTATCAGTTTATCTTCACTCAATAAATTAGAGAGCGACTTCTTTGCTAACAAGTTATCTTATTTTTAACACGATGGTCGCATCAAATAAATAATTCGAGTGTTAACACTCAGACACACAATAACAAAACGATTATTATCGAGTTATTGTTTTCCATTCACCATAGTCGAGCGCCATATTTACAACAATATTTTCTGGTTTATCCGCGTTAAATTCTTTCACACGCGACAAACATCCCCTATCCCGCGGTGCCCTGATGGTATCGTTGCTACACTGGCACAAATCCAACTAATCCAGCTGTTCCATTCCCAGGAGCCATTGTTCCACCGTACTATCTACTTCTACCTGAAACTGTTAAGTTTAATCCAGCCCTTCTACCACCCGAAACCATCAACGACCATATCCTACTCCACTTGAAGATGATCCACCAGCTCTTCCTCTGCCCCAATATGCACCCCAAGTTGAACCTGGCCCACCCACTCCACTTCCGCCGCCAGTAGCTATCCATCCACCACCTACTCCAGTTCCTCCACCAGTAGCTACTACCCCACCACCGTATCCACCTCCGCCTGGAGCTGCTCCACCTACTCCAGCTCCTCCTCCTCCAGTAGCTACTACTTCCTCCTCCACCTCCTGCTCCTCCACTTCCACCTCCTGCTCCTGCACTTCCACCTCCTGCACTTCCACCTTTAGCAGCTGCTTCAGCATCCTCTTTCTTGGCCCTCTCTATCTGCTCCTTCACGAAGTCAGGGACGGGTGGCAGGAAGGAAGACTGCGGCTGGAATCCATTACCATCCGCGATGTAAGTCAGTTTGAACTTCTGCCCGTCAGGCATCGTGTATCTGCAAATAATTTATTCAGGGTTAGTGGTATTGAAAATACCCAATTAGTCAGGCATCGTGTATCTGAAAATAAATTATTCGCGATTAGTGGTGTTGAAAGTGCCCGATTTCAGCGGAAATTCTCTTCTTTTTCGCCTTGATTCAAGTTAAGGATTACAATTTGATTTTTTTTAATTAGGAAGAGAACACCTGCTCTTTAATGAAGATGGCTACAAGTTTTCATTAGCGGCCGGTTTTATTTAACTTAGAAACTACCACTGATATGTGTAATAATGTGTACTACTTAAAGTAGTCGATATTTTTTTCTATGTACAGTTCACTTGAATTCATGTGAAACCACTTGAATTAGCTGAATTAACAACTAAAATTTGAATTAAAATTAATTAGTTCCTGATTTCAAAAGCTTATTTTTTATAATGAACACTATATAAGGTAGTCATTATGAGCCCTTGATAAATGAGCCCTTGGTAAAGGAGCTTTTGATAAATGAGCCCTTGATAAATGAGCCCTTGGTAAAGAAGCCCTTGATAAATGAGCCCTTGATAAATGAGCCTCTGATAAAGGAGCCTTTATGAAGGGCTTCTTTTGGAAGGGGCCGGGTGATGTGGCTCATATATCAGACTTTCCCACAGGCTGCGCGAACGCACGACAAAGTTTGAAAACAATTAGTTTTATTAAAATAAATGAATTATCAGAATTTCGTCATATTGACGAAATGAACATCTTCGCAAGCCATTCTTGTCCAATAGAAAGGCGTCGTAGTAATACTGACCTAGTACGATTCGTCGCAAACTAAACTTTAGAGCCACTAAACAGGGGGTAAGCGTTTCAAAAAATTGTCAACTGAAATAAAGTGTAAGTGCATGGCTTGGAAACGTAGCTCTAAAGTCATTCAAGTTGATACGAACTTCCCATGGATTCGTCTCAAAAAATATTATTAAGTTCTCTGAGTTAATAACTTAAAATTTAATTAGCTGTACATGAAACTTTTAAGTACATTTTTCTCGGCTGAATTGACGACAGAATAGTTCGTCATTCAATCGAAACTATGCAATAACTTTTAATTTATTTATATTGTCACACACTGATTGTGTGACCTCAAAAGCAACTTAGAGACAATTGAGTTTAAAAAACTCTCATTGGAAAAAGCAGTCTCCGAAAAAACGAAAGTTAAATAAAAAAACTTGCTCTATATGAATGCCTGGACAAGTTTTCTTTTTAGGTAAATCATCGAATTGAAAACAGTGCAGTCATAATTAGACAAGGTTTCATCACTCGTATGCTGCTCGATGGTCAACTTGGTAGGAATAGCACTATCGACGGCAGTAAAAAAGGTTCTGCAGGTTAAATTGAACATAAAATCGATCGATGCACAATGAACGAACTGCTTAATAAAGTATCCTAATTAGAAGAAGAGAATGGCACTTAAATTCTGTGAGCTGATTAACTATGTCTTGCTTGTTAGGCCAAGGCCAATCAAGTCACTCATACCTTCTTTTATGGTATTCGTACGTATTAACCGCCGCCAATGGTATTCGTATCAAAGAAACTTGTAACGAGAGTTACTACACAATATACAAATAGTCAAATCGTCAAAGCTTCTATAAATTGGCAGTATAAAATTCATGGCACTATAAAAGGTTCAGAGATATTATTTGATCTTATTTATAACAAAAAAAGGTTGAAATTGTGATAATAACGCAAAAAAGAAATTTCTTCTGCTTGACAATCATTTTCCTTTTCATGGAACAGGTGTTGCACCAACGCTACAGCGGTTTACAACTTACTCTTAAAAATTTCAAAAAAAAAACAGAGTTATGTTTTACACTCAGCATTTCATTCAAACAATAAAAAAATAATTAAATATTCGTACTTACGAATATTCTCCAGTTTGCACAATCATTCCTTGGGCGTTCAAAGATCCGGACTCCGACCGCGCAATTCCGTTTTCCGCTTCAAAGGAGAAGCTGTAGGAACCTGCTGCATCGGGAGCTTTTCTCTCGTCTTTGATGATTGCTACTGGAGTTTTGGATGCACCTCCACCTGCTGCAGCTGCACCTCCACCTGCAGCAGCTGCACCTCCACCAGCTGCAGCTGCACCTCCACCAGCGGCAGCTGCACCTCCACCAGCGGCAGCTGCACCGCACCTCCACCAGCGGCAGCTGCACCTCCACCAGCGGCAGCTGCACCTCCACCTGCAGCAGCTGCACCTCCACCTGCAGCAGCTGCACCTCCACCTGCGGCAGCTGCACCTCCCCATGCAGCTGCTGCACCTCCACCTGCTGCGGAAACGCCTCCACCTGCACCTCTACCAGCTCCAGCAGTGCCTCCACCAGTTGCGGCAAAGCCTCCAGCTGCAGCAGTTCCTCCTCCACCTGGTGGCGTCAGTAAGCCACGTGCTCCACCCCCAACGGTTCCACCTCCTGCTGAACTTCCTCTCTGGACTCCAGTTCCACCACTCACTGAAGATCCAGCGGCACCATAGCTCGCACCACCGATTCCACCTGCTTGTGCACTTGCAGCTCCCCCTCTTGCACCAAATGTTCCACCTCCTCCAGCAATTCCTCCAGCTACTCCCCATCCTGCTTGAGCTCCATCTCCTACTCCTCCAGCTGACCACGCGCCTCCTGCACTCCCACTTCCTGCTCCACCTCCTGCTCCAGTTCCTGCTGCTCCAGCTGACCACGCATTTCCTGCACTTCCACCTCCTGCTCCACCTCCTGCTCCAGTTCCTGCTCCTCCAACTGCCCACGAACTTCCTGCACTTCCACCTCCTGCTCCTCCGACAGCAGCATTACCTCCAGCATTGCTCCACCAACTGCTTCCATCGCTGGCTGGAAAAGTTGATGCAGGAGGCGAAGAGGGAGAATAATAGCCTTGCGGTGCTGCCTCGGTTAAGCTTAAGGCAAGCGCCATGCATATGACCTGAAAAAAACATGAAATAAGGTTCAAATTGGATTAAAGTTTTATATCTTTTTTCAAGCTGCTTTCAGAAAGTCGGCAATAAATTTATTAAAATAAAATTAGATTGGACAGATTGAAAATACAAAGAATATTTCTTAAAATATCATGGCACAAAGGTAAAATGAGATGTAATAAATTCAGTATGAATATTTTAAGGATACATAATTTCTTCTTTATTCAGGAACCCAGAGCAATGAATACAAAGAATTCTAGTTTTTGTGTAGTCTGCATGTACCTGACCCCAGTAGAAAGGTCCCTAGCAACGTAAAGAAGGGTTTTGTACACACCTAACCCTAACTCTAACCCTAAGTTGGCTTTTTTTTATGCCCGGTAATGTAGTTCATTTATTTATGCGTCCGGTTTTTCAGTACAAACTAGTTGCAGAGTATATAAGCGGACGCGGTTTTGTCAGGATTTCTTACCCATGTCCGGTATTTACTTTTTTATTGCTCTATTTCCTGGCTAGGGAAGGCTAGCAGGAATTGAATTTTTAGGAAGAATGGAGCTGGAAATTCAATCCAAAATCGTCAAAAGTTTTCAAAGCAACGGCACTTACCAAGTTTCAAAAACTCGCTTTATAGCCAAAAGAACTTTATTTGATGCCTGGTTCCATGCCTCATTCACCAAGCAGCATCCATTCTTTATTTCATTAACTTTATTATTATTTGACAAAATTTATAATCATTTCTTTAACTTTAACTTTACGAGTATAAATTTACGAGTTAAACGTTTAACTTTAACTATACGAGTATAAGCGAATATATACGCGATACTAGCGTGCCGAAATTGAAAGTTATGCCTATTCTGGATTGTAACCGATGTCGGTTGTCCTACATTATTAATTTTCACAGACATATAAATTACGCATATACATCATCACTATATGACTCACTATCAGCATGTCGGATTTAGTTGAGGTACCTCTGTCTCGTTCGATGATAACTGAATCGAGATCCAACAAGGACATGTTTTATACCGTCGCAATTGTCCTTGTTCTTCACGGTTGCGGTTGAGAGTTGAATGCATGCAATCATTTAGCAGATTCGATTATGTCCTTGCGAAAAACGAGCTCCTTTCCACAAAATAACTTCCGATGTAACTTCCGTCAGCTGATCATCCTAAATGCAGGCTTATCAGTCCAGTTTTGAAAAAAAATTTTAATCGTTAAATAAATATATTTTTTTGCTAAATTTGGTCTTTCAGCGCCATTCACCGTAAGACTCATTGGCCGTTTGTATAATTCCACAAAACCTTTTTTTAATTGGCACAAAGTAAGTCATTGAAATGTTGTTTTTTATAATATTTCATAATATTTATATTAAAAATAATTGAAATATTTGACAAGTTATTTCCACTTCGACGCTAGTTTGCGTGGTATTCTTAATTTTCTGCCAGGCTTTTACTGCTATTGTAAAAAATATCAAATAGTCGGGAGCGTTTCTCAGTTTATCAAGAGACTTTTACATAGTCAAGACTTTTACATAGGCAATATAACAAGACTTTTTACAAGATTTTTTATATATAACAAGACATTTACATAGTCAATATCCATGATTAATCCACGCTTCATGAACCCATTAGCATTTATTTTCATATCAGTGAACAATGCAAACATGGAACATATATGCCAAGTCCATATAGAAAAATATTGCAACAGCGCGCAATTTGAGACGAAATGACCAATGCGAAATCAGAAGGTAGAGCTTGCCCACAAAACTCAAAACAAACCTTTCTATTGGCTGTTTAGTTTAGAAAAAAATGACATTGAACAGGAAAATAAACTCGTTTTGCGAAGGGATTTTTACTACAAGGTTTCTCTGCAAAGAAAAATGAAATTAATATCAAGTGAACTGTCATGGCTGTGTTTTCATCACAATTAAATGAGTTTTGGCTTCTTTGGAATGTGAATGGCAGAAATATCGAGTGCCTTACCAGTGTCTAACATAAATGATATGTGAGAAATGAAAGATTTTCACTACTTCGCATAATTTATCACTTATAGTATCCGATAATTAAGGTAACTGAGGTAGTACAGTGTATCTTGTCACCCACGAAGTTTCAACGTTTCATGTTTTGGAAGCTTGCAATAATTTGAAGTAATTAGACAGAGCATTTTTTGAAATATCTCTTCGAAGTCTATTTTAAGAAACTTCTTAGGTCTGTTATGCAGCATGAGTTAAGGTCTGTAATTGATGGTCATTTCCTTACACTCGCCCCTCACCCCCCGAAAAAAGTATAAGTAAAAAATTGTCATGTTCAAAAAATTTGTAAACGGTAATTTTTCAGTTCGAACTGAGCTTCGCAGCTTGCAGCTGCGTCTTTCAACAGCTGCCCACTCAATGCATATAACCTTTCTCGTCCGACCTACCGGCTAACATTGTATAAAATATAATCGACAAATTATCTGCTCAGTGAAGCCATCATAAATTCAAAATTAGGATGGACGCTCGAAACATCTTGGTCAGCCTGGTGTATAAATCTTAACACAATTGAGAACGTCTAGAACCTTTTTCGTTTGACCCATCGTCAAGTGAACTGTCGAATATGATTGACAAATGTCGAAGCATCCTTCGCGGCCTGTCTAATAAATGATAATAATGGTTATTGGAAGACTTGTTTGTCCTTCCCATCATTCCCTTTGTATTCGAGGCGGGCTTTGAACTTCGGGGTCAGCCAGAGAAAGTGGTGGACGGAGCCCATACTGAAGCATGGTTATCCATGAACTCTCCTGCGTACCTGCTATTGATAAGTCATGCTACTGTGCTGCGTACATCATGTAGCTTTATACTGCTGCATTATACCAGGGGATAACTTTTATTATGAACTTTAAGATTAATCATGCGTGTAATGTTTAATGAGTTTTATTATCTATGGAACTTCTAAACTTTCTGCGTGCCAGCAATTGATAAGTCATGCTACTGTGCTGCATTCATCATGTAGCTTTATACTGTTGCATTATACCAGGGGATAACTTTTATGATGAACTTTGAAAATAATCAAGCGTGTTATGTTTAATGCGTTTAATAATCTATGAAACTTTTAAACTTTCTGCGTGCCAGCAATTGATAAGTCATAGTGTGTTGCGGATATCATGTAGCTTTATACTGCTGAATTATACCAGGGGATAACTTTTATGATGAACTTAAAAAGCAATCATGCGTGTAATGTTTAATGAGTATTATAATCTATGGAACTTTTAAAATTTAAACTTTCTGCGTGCCAGCAATAGATAAGTCATGCTACTGTGCTTTCCAGTCGAAGACTGAGTTATAACAGGATTTAACTCTTTATAATAAACCTAGCCAATAATATTACTTGTTCATTATTATTATTTAACATTAATAATTATTAATTATTTGGAGATTCGTTATTCATTGTCACAAAATCGCATGTATACGATGTAAAACATGTGTATATAAACGACCTAAAATAAATTCGTCAAAAAAATTATATTCCTGAAAATCATTTTTTTCTGAATGATGAACTAAATCATGGAACATGAGCAAGATGATTTAAGCTTCCTTAGATACTTGAATAAAAGTTCAGAGGTAATGTCGTTAGATAAATCTTTTCCCTTAAAAATACTGTAGCATCCATTGTATCGTCGAAGTAACTTTTTTTATCAGGATTAGGATAAACAAATTTTTAAACAAATTAAAGTATGTTTTAAATTTGAAGAATGCCTGAACAAAGTCCCGTCTTGCTTTGAATAAATTTATTTTATATATCAGTTTAAATTTTCAACTTATGGTTAGACTTAACAATGTATGTATCAACTTCAGTTGAAAAATTTACTCATTCCTACGTAACTCATTTCAGGGTTCAAGTTTTTAAATTACTCGTTCCATATGTACATGTTACATTTTCTTTAATCAACTTCAGTTGAAAAAAATATCTCATACCTACGAAACTCATTTCAGAGTTCTAGTTTTTAAATTACTTGTTCCATATGTACATGTTACATTTTCTTTAATCAACTTCAGTTGAAAAAATTATCTCATATCTACGAAACTCATTTCAGGGTTCTAGTTTTTAAATTACTTGTTCCATGTGTGCATGTTACATTTTCTTCAGTCTTTTACGAAACTGGCCTTCCATTAACAAGGGTCCCAGTTACCCAGTTAAGATATCGCTTGCAGGCAGCGGCTGACCAGACCTCGCTGAAATTCGAGGTCGACCGCTTGTGCTGTCTCTTCGCCTCCATAGCTGAACTCAATTATAAATTGGGGTAGCTCTAATTTTCATCTTGCTTACTCAAGTAATTGATCCGCGCATAAGTTCAATTTCAGCAAGCTTCATGAACATAATTTTACTATTTTGTAGTAAGGACTCCCGAAAACTCATTTTCGATTTTGAATAATTTACCCATGAATGAAGATAGTGAAAGTATAAATTCTAACTCGCTATTTAACTATGAAATTTTACGGTGAATGGAGTTCGGTCAATTCATTCAAGCTCAATCTAATCTTTGGACTGACTTTATACCTTGAACTTTATTTTATAATAACGCTGCAGTTCTTAAAATAAATTTCTTAGGAAGTTACATTTGTCTCCTGAATGGTATATTGATTTTGAAAAATGTTAAATGCTTCTTACTAAGTTTTATTGAGTATAACAATTAGATGTTTAATGGTAAACGCATTACATAGATTTTAGGTTTAGCATCAGTGAGATTTTTATGGATCGATTTGTTTGCATTCAAGTTTTACATGTATATATGTATAGTGGTTTCTACCAATTGTTAAACCAGTTTTCATATTAAATAAAAATATCAATACTGGGTCAAGACAATGTGAGCCCTACTAAACCTGTACAACGCACTTTTGATTACACAGCAATTAAATAAAATGGCTTCGATTGAATGCAAATAAAAAGTCTCACATGATTGACCATAAGGGGAACAAATTGAGCCGCGTTAATATGATATTATTATAGACGATCTGTTCTCCCAGCATCGATACCCAATAATTTTCTGGTGATCCGATAAGGTCAACGGGGCTGAGCGATGTTGCGACATGTTCGTCGTCAGAGCTCACCTGCGACGACGACGAAATTTTGGAGGGTGACTAACATAAAAGAAAATTTCAATAGGGATGAATGCTAGTATAATATTTAAATTGGATCCAAGATGGTGGCAATTTGAGCCACTGAAACTGTAGCTAATGCCTAACCAAAAGTTGATAAGCTAAAAAGAAATGAGCTTGTGTATTTATTAAATAAGGAGTTTCGAAGATTTCATTTCACATGCATACTGGAAACCTAAACAACGCATATAAGAAGTTGAGCAATGTTTACGAAAAATATAAAGAATTATCGTAAAACGTAAATAATCATAAATCAGTAAAAGAAAAAATATAACTCAGTACTCACTGCAGTGAGTGACAGAGAGCGCTTTTTCTCGTCGATGAAAACGTGAAGTCACCGACGGACAGACAGACGGACGGACTGACGGACATGGCGAGCACAATAGTGCACTTTTCCTTAAATGAGAAAATGCGTAAAAAAGAGAAAAACTATTTTATCAACCAATTTTTTCCTGCTAAAAAATATCTACGAGTGCGACAAATAAATTGTGGACTTTTTCAATATACAGTAATTAGAATTTTATCACAATAAGAACGTTTGGATTTAGGATTGAAGTTTCTCGTAAATTACAGGCTAGTCTATCCCTGAAATGTTAGACTAACCTGTTAGCATAATACAAGCAAAAATTTATCCACGCTTATGAAGTTATTATTTTTCCTCGTCGACTTGAATTCGTATCTTCGGGACTCAGAGTGAGACATGTGTATGAAATTTTTCTAAACGATTGAAATCTAACGAAATATGCGGTCATCCGATTCCATTCAAATGATCCCCGTCATTTGGGAAGTGATTTGAATATAACTCAGTACTCACTGCAGTGAGTGACAGAGAACGCATTTTCTCGTCAACGAAAACTTGAGGTCACGGACGGGCAGACAGACAGACGGACAGACAGACAGACGGACATGGCGAGCACAATAGTGCATTTTTCCATAAATGAGAAAATGCGCAAACAACAGTATGTATTATAGCAATTTCTATATTGTTTGTCTATAAGTAATTAAGGTTTCCCCAGACTAGCGTGATTAAAATTTCATGCAAGGTATCAGCGATATTTACAGAAGTGACCTCAGCAATAAACTGGGACAAAAATAACGAGCCTGGTTGTTTACCAGGCCACTAAATTCTCGTGAGTTTGCTTTAACAAATTAATTCATGACGTCATTGCTCTTCTCATGGCCGACAACAACTTAGTATTCAGTCTGCATTATTCAGTCACTCCTGCCGCTCCGAATGCTTTAAATTATTATTTTTCATCTATCGTGCATGTGTATCCATTTAATTACTACATAAGAGTATTATAAGAGCACATGGAATACGGAAATATATTTGCTAAAAATATTCGAAAAATTTTTAATTCTGGCTCACTATTTTTTATGTTCACAGAAATAGTCAGAAACAAATTAGAGAAAAGCTATACAAAATAAATGGAATTTGATGTTTTCCTAGTTGTCATTGGAATGAATAGCGTCAATTATTTATGAAAGTATGTTCGAAACATCATAAATTGATTTCCATAACAAGGCAGCTAAACTTTGTATTAACTAAGAGAATCCTTCGATGATTTAACGTGCCTAATAGAAAGATAAAATCTTTTGGCCTAATATTTTTTAGTCGTAAACTTTTATGACATAAGCTGTTTATTTGTAAGTTACAGAAGTGATTCAACACTACCTAGGGTTATTTGCATGCATGCTGTGAATCATTACGGAGTACATATACTAGATTGTATTGCAGATAGTCACGACTAATGATATTAAGTCATTTATTGTATTTGTTTCTGCGCAATAAAAAAATCAAATTCTACTGTGAACTGGATGTTCAACCCGATGAATATCATGCAACATGATTTTTAATTTCGCTGAAAATGTTGTAAATATTCCTGCATTGACCAAATTAATTTTTCTCTAATGCTGACCTACAATAATATCCATGAGGTAACACGTTTATATATAAACTATACACGATATGAAAAATGCCTCTGCATTACATATTATTATTGTTCATTAAAATTAAGTTACAGAAAAATGGAGCTTCTCAGTAGTAGCGGCAACAAACTTTTCTTAAAGGAAAATTGGAATCATGTTTTTACAGCCTCATTTGAGCACAACACTAACTTAATTTTATCGTTTTTTTTGGGCGTTGAAATTCAGCGCTCACTAAATTTTAGTAATCAAAATCTCACATAGTGAAGGTTTCACGCTATAATCCGTCTGTAAAAATTGTTATTCCGCTCACTTTTGCTTCAGATGACCCTCGAAAGAAGTGGTGCTCTCCTCATACTAAGTATCAACAGTCTTTGGTGCATTAGTAATGCTGCACAATTAAGTTTACTTCACTTCTCGGGTATAAAACCAACAGTCATGATTGAAGACCATCATAAACGAGGACAGCCTCGCAGTTAGTAGGACCACAGGACACGAACCACGATGCAATCTGTGAGTACAAAACTAAAGTGTGTAATTTTTAGCGCATTTTCTCAGTTATGAAAAAATGCAATGTTGTGCTCGCCATGTCCGTCTGTCTGTCTGTCTGTCCGTGACTTCATGTTTTCGTCGACGGAAAAATGCGCTCTCTGTCACTCACTGCAGTGGGAACTGAGTAATATTTTTTCTATTTTATAAGATGCAGTAAATGAGCAAAACAATTGGATGAAGCAATTCTGTGTATCCATGACTAAAATCCTTTAACGTCTGTAAAGTTACTGTTCCCTGTACTTTCAATTGACTTAATTTATTGTTAATATCGTCAATATCGTCACAATTTAGTCTAAAAAGATTATCTCTTTTATCTCTGACTTTTCAGCAAATACTGATCGTGTCTGTGGCTTTTGCCATTGTCACTGCGGCGCCAAGTCAACTGAAGACTACGGAAGAACGTTACACCTATTCCATCCCAGGAGGAGTAGCTTTCTCAGAAACTATTTCACAAGAAACTGCAGCCAGTTCAGGAGGGCCTGGAGCCCAGGTAGGTGGCACCGCCTTCGGAGCAAGTTCAAGTCTAGGAGCCGCTGCTAGCCAAGGAGCCGGCAGCCAATTCGGTGTTTCTGCAAGCCAAGGAGCCGCCAGTCACTTCGGTGTTTCAGCAAAGCAAGGAGCTGCTGCTAGCCAAGGAGCCTCAAGCCACTTCGGAGCTTCAGCAAGCCAAGGGGCTGCTGCTAGCCAAGGAGCCGCCAGCCAATTTGGTGTTTCATCAAGCCAAGGAGCTGCTGCTAGCCAAGGAGCCTCAAGCCACTTCGGTGTTTCTGCAAGCCAAGGAACCGCTGTTCGCCAAGGAGCCGCAAGCCAATTCGGAGCTTCAGCAAGCCAAGGAGCTGCTGCTAGCCAAGGAGCCGCAAGCCAATTCGGAGCTTCAGCAAGCCAAGGAGCTGCTGCTACCCACGCTGCTGGTGCTGGAGCTGGATCTGCGGTGGCTACAGGAATTTCTGGCCTTAATAGTGGTTTCAAAACTAGCAGCACAAAAGGCGAAGCAACCGGAGTTTCTGGAAGTGCATTTAGCAGCAGCAGCAGCAGCTCCAGCGCTTCTTCAGCAGCAGAATCAGTTGCAATCGTCAGCGACGTGCGGGCGGGGCCTGATGAGACTGGAGCTTACAGCTTCAACGTCGAGGGCGCCGATGGAACTGTCTTTCAGGAGAAGGGCGAGCCAGGGGCCAATGGAGGCATCGTGCAAACTGGATCATACAAGTCAGTAGTATACTCGTACACTACGTTTCAATGATCAATATATATAAAGTGTAAAATCTTTAAGAATTTTCATCAATAAGCAATAATTAAATGAGCATAATCACGGTAGAAAAAACATATTACTCTGATTAAAACCTTCAATTACGTAAAAAGAATTCTCTGCACTGAACTTTGCGTTTATAGTACGTGGAATATTGATGTCTTTCTGGATTTTCAATTACGTTGTGAATGGTCAAAAGCTTTTACAGCGATTATGATAATTCAAAATTTTTTGATAAAATTATTTTTTCAAGTTTCAATAAGTGTTTACGTCGAAATTTTTTTCTTTGTTGATCCTAACCACCTAAGATTACATCCTAAATTAAATGAAGCCAATGTTTACACAGGTATCTTTTGCCCGACGGCCAACTTTTTGAACTGAGCTACGTTGCTGACGAACAAGGCTTCAAGCCAACCTCGAACGCCCTTCCTCCACTTCCAGCCTTCGTGTTGGAGCAAATAGAGTTTGCTGCCAGAAATCCAGAGCCTGAGGAAGCCGCAAGCCAAGTCGGAGCTTCAGCAAGCCAAGGGGCTGCTGCTAGCCAAGGAGCCGCAAGCCAATTCGGAGCTTCAGCAAGCCAAGGGGCTGCTGCTAGCCAAGGAGCCGCAAGTCAATTCGGAGCTTCAGCAAGCCAAGGGGCTGCTGCTACCCATGCTGCTGGTGCTGGAGCTGGATCTGCAGTGGCTGCGGGAGGTGCATCCGCAGGCTCGAGCCAAAGTACTTTCGGCGGTATTTCGTTTGGCGCCGGAGCGTCGCAAGGGACTGGTGGAGCATCAGCAGGAAGCAGTCTAGTTGGCGCACCGAGATTTGGAGCTAGTTTCTCACAAGGAACTTCTAGTGCTGCTGGAGGACTCAGCGTTGGAGGTGCAGCAGCGAGCAACGTTGGAGGTTCCCCTGGAGCATCATTTGGCTCCGGGTTTGGAGCTTCAGCAGGCGGTAGCCTGAGGCAACCCGGCAAGCCTGCCCAGTCCTACCTGACCCCCAACGCGAAATAATTCAACACATTTGCTCACGAATCGCTCCGATGAACGTTCCAACTTTGTGAATCCTCGAACGATACCTATAGATCGTAATTATATATTCTTATGTAAGCCAGCATCATTCTTCCATTCGATTTCACATATTTCTTCACGATTGATGCACATTCGATTATTTTGTTGCTTTCTTCATTCATGGGAAGCATCATATTTTCTAAATTTGTAGCAAATGCTAAAATTCTGAACTTCTAGCAAAAGCACATTTTATTAGCAAATAAATTCATTTTAGCGCCCTTTAAAATATAATTGTAGACTTCACTTCGAATTTTCAGACAAACTAATTTGTTCAGTATTTTAGCTAAAAGTCCTTTAATAAACACGAATTTTTAATAACTGAATTTATTATGCTCTGACCTGCATTCGTGTCATTTTGATAGCTGAAGTAAATGATCTTGGTACATAAAATGTCAGCGAACGACCGTTTCAGTGTTGAAGTAATTTAGAGCAGAATTTTGACGAAGTTAACGATCCATAGGTTGAAATTACACGTATGTTTGGCTAGTTTTGTTGGATGTCATCAATAAATTATCATCAATTAGTCGGAAATTCAATTCGATAGTTTGAATAGTAGAGCCCTGTAGGGACTGTCTCTTATACACATCTAGATGTGTATAAGAGACAGTTCCATAACTGACGATTGATTGAGATAGCTGCTGGACTTATTGCCTGGTCCGTAATTTGCTAGGCATTTTAAGACTGAACATATGCTCCTGCATAGCTTCGTCTAGTCTGTTTTTGAAGAGGTTCATACTCGGAGCTTCAACGATGCTATCAGGGAGGCTGTTCCACATGTCGGTGACTCGAAGCGAGAAGAAATGTTGTCGCATGGATGTGTTTCAACGCTGTTTTTTTAGTTTATAGCCGTGGCCTCTGGTGTTGGTTTTTGTTTCAAATTCTCTTGTGCGATCTCTCTTAAACTTCAGTTTAATATATTTGGGAAGAACATTCTCAAACATGTATTCAATAATAAATCAACTTTGCATTAAATTCCGTCTGAAATGACAAGTATGAACTGTAGAAACGATGGGAATTCAAATGTTTCTTTTGAACAATTAGGAGTACATAGCAATGGAATTTTATTTCCACTCACACTGTCCAGATTCATACCGTGAAGATAAACCACATTTGTTTCTTGACAATGACTTTAAATTTATGACCATTTATGACAATGATAATTTAAAGATTAATTTAATCCCTGCTCTCCAATAGAATGTTTAAACACCGGAAAAATCAAAGAATTTTCTCAACTCATGCAATAATTGTTTTTCGTAAAGTGAAATTCAAGACTCACAGCTTTGATCGTGATGAGGGTTGTTGTTGACTACGTCAGTTGAAGGTGTGAGGTGACTCTTAGCTTCGAGCCGCTTCTTTATATACTCGAAAAACTTAGTCTTCTGATAGCAAGATCGAATTGAATTTCATGCCCCAGATAGACGTGGCACCAGCAATGTTTGTTTTTCATACGTTTTTCGTGACATGAAATTAATTATGTTCCTCGAATTTTGGTAAACATTCCTACGAATAGAGTTTTATTGGTACAATAGCAGTTGTGTTATGCGGGAATCATTTGAATACGAGCAGCAATAACTACCTAACCAGAATTCAGGTGCTATTCTGACGCTGCAAATGGTACCACATAGGATTCGGGGAGCACTCAAGTCAGCCGCTCTATGTCCGCTTCAGGTTACTTCCCCATACAGCTCCGGTAGCCTCAGTCGCTACTCTGGCGAGCCTTGGGCGGTACGTATTGCGTTCGTTTCAGTTTCTTAGACGTCTATTGCCGATTGTGATTGATAAAAAACTCACCTCTCTAAAGCAGTGAATGTTATTGAGGGTTAATTAAGGGCGTACGTTATTTGCTTCATGTGCTTGTTGAAATAACTTGTTAAATACAATAAAACTCCGATTACTGGGTAACATTGCGCGCGGAAAACTTTTTCACATTTACTAAAGAAATAGTGTAAGAAGTGATCTATAATCAAATAATAATAAACTGGATAATAACATTGTTACGGAATCGCTACTCTAGTTAAGGTGCTACCAATTTGTTTTTGGCATGAATTGGCAGCGTTCTCCCACTCCATGCAACGTTCACTATGGTAAGACAAGCGTACTTACAACCAAAAATAACATATTTACTGTCAAACAATTGCTTTGATATCCAGTATAGCATGGCAAGCGGAATCCATTATACACTAGAAATTTGTTCAGACACTACATTATACGTGATATTATACATCATGCGTAATTCAATGAGAGAACGACGCGCCAATCAGGGTTCGCGCCAGGATCCAGAAATTTCGAAGTCAGAGCCATGTCACCGTTCAAAGTCAACATGTACAACAATAGAAAAGAAATAAAACTGACTTCTATTGACAATGTAGAGAATATTTTTCTGCCTTTTATATTTGCTAAATCTCTCTTAATAAATAATTATGAGCATAGACTAGACACTAGAGAATCATGCAATGCATAAAAATTGGTTTTATGAAGCACGGAAAAAACCTTCTTTTATTTCCATTATTAGGGAAAATTGTGGATAATCGCGTTGTTTCTTTGACATTAGAAACGTTTCCTTGAAAAAATGGTTCCCATCTGTGGTGCGCCCATCAATATTGATTGGTACGGGAGGGCATTCCAGAAGGAATGAATATTATACGTATTATCACGAAAATCTTTTAAATGATTGAAAAATTGAGTTAAATTCGTAAGGGGCACTGCTCGGTAACTCCATTATAAATTTATTCTATAATCGTTGGACTGAAAAATCATATCCATCTGAAACTAAAATTCTTGGTAAAGATATCGCTGTCATTTTCGAAGCGATGGTTTTGTCTTCAAAAAATTGATCTCCAATTGAATACTGTACAGAAACCATTACGTTCATCTAATTTGCCCACGAGCATCTAATTTAACCACTCGATAGCAAGCCGTCAGACTTTACTCTACCAGTTTAATTAGGCATGTTCCGTTGGTTGAGAAATTTCATTTTAAGATTTTACAAAAATTATTAGTTGATTTCACAATGATATCTTCCGCAATTTAATTTTATATCACTCGAAAAGACCTTTAATGAGCCCGAATCCATTTTTTCATGATCACCACTATAATCGAATTTATTTGGTAGTTTAAGAAACCGATTTTGTCACAGTGGATGCTGGAAAATACCAATTACCTTTTATAACATTCTGTTGTGTGATTTAATAAACTTATAGATTCGGAGAATGAGATTACACGAATGCTTGTAAAGTTTATTGGGATTTCATGAATAAATTATCATAAATTACGGGACAATTCCATTCGATACTTAGAATCGGGGAGCCCTGTAGGTGTTGGTCGGCTCTGGGGCGGCATATCTGCCACTTGGTGCAGATCGTGCGGCTTCCTCATCTTCACGGGCAGCCTTGGCGATCTGGTCGAGGACGAACTGGGGGATCTCGTGGGGGAAGGCAGGGGCCACGGGCAGGGCATCGGACTCGGGTTGGTATCCTCCCTCGGCGTTGGCGATGTATTTCAGAACGAAGCTCTCACCGTCGGGGTGGACGAAGCGGACGGTTCCCTGGGACTCAACGGCGCCATCGGGGCCTGAGCCGTAGCCGGACTCGGAGATCTTGGTGCCATCAGCGGTTTCGAAGTCGAGGCTGTACTGTCCAGCGGCGCTGGGGTACACGCGGTCGTCACGGAGGATGGCGACCTCTTCGTTGCTGTCGTCGGAGCGGTGGGCGGAGTAGGTGTTGGTGGGGGGAGCGGCGTATGTCCGGCGGGGGGCGTCTGGCCTGGCAGCGGCCACGGCCACGAGGGCGGCGAAGAAGGTCTGAATAAATGCAAGATTTAATAAATGCAAGATATTAACAAACTTTCACTGTAGATTTCCTCAAACTATGATATATTCTCAGTGTCCTTTATTTCCGCCGTTTTCCCTCGCCGCAGCAGTAAAACTAAAAAATGAAATCCTTTTCATTGCTACTAGCTGAAGCTAGCAATGAATGCTACTAGCTGAAAATGAAGTCTTTTTTTCATTGCTACTAGAATGTGTTTTTGAACCTAAAATAAATTGAACTCCTTACATAGTTAAATTCTGAAACTCGCATAAAATAAATCCTTATAACGCAACTTCTTTAAGTAAGCACATGTTGCAACTTCAAACTATCATTTCGATTTTGAATATAGATGATTACAAACTTTTTAACATTCTAATTCTGCGAAGAAATAATTATCGGTTTTATCAATCTCCAAGAATGTAAAATTTTCAACTCTCAAGAAGATGTTTTGTTCATTAGACAGAAAAAAGTTGGTGAATATAAGTAACGAACCAGAGAAGCCAAATTTCTTTCATGTGAGGGTGAAGCAAAATATGGTCCTAGAGCCGTTATTATTTTATTATTATTTATTGTTATTATTATATTATTATTATTATTTATTACATTCTTCGATCGATTGATTTTGCTAACAATTCATGAATGTAGTCGCTTTTATATAGTCCAGAGACTCGGATTTTTGAGAGCAAGGTCGACTCAAACCCCCTCCCATGCCTCAGGAAGACGAGTCGCAAATTCGAGTTTTTGTCATGCCTCTATCGTTGCGTCTACTTAGGTATATGTCCTTCTGATTTGATTAACACAAATTTCATTGAACTACTGCAGAGTCTGTCACGAAACTGAAATTTGTAGACGCTTATGTTGTGGGATGAGTGAATAATTTTGTTGCAGTTTTTTTGTGACAAATATGTGATTTGAAATATTATTTTTGAAAATATTATTTTCTCTTTCGTGACTATGCTGCTTCAAAAATTCACACATTAGCGTAAAAATAAACACTTATTAAATAAATTTCGTTGCATAAATGAAAATTTTGATTTTGTTTAGGTGGTAATCGATTTGTATGATAATATTACAATTGTTAACAGTAATACTCTCTAGCTATTTTGAATATCGTAGAGCTAAAGCGTAGATTTAAAAATGAATTATTGCAATCTGATTATCAATAAATTGGCTTCATTTGTAAATAATCTGAATTGCATTTGGGGGATAAATACACTAAGCATTCACATGTTGTTATGTGAACTCACATGTATGAAAATCTTTCATCATCAATTTACTAAACCTTTTTTGACTTTTGGTACGATTAAAAAAATTACTTTCTTTTGCAATGCACTGCAATGTGTTGTGAACTCTAAACAGGACAGAAATTAATAATTTATAGGTAACATTTAGGTCTTTTTTCATTATGATAAAATCATATAATAATGTCTAGAACTTTCAGCTCCCTTTTTCGCCTCCTTTCACCAAAGTAGAGATTTTCCATTTATCCTATAAATGAATGAATACGATACAATTGTGTGACATAATTAGGAATAAAAAATATTTGAAACACATGAATTTAGAAATCAATTACAAAACCAAAGCATTTAAGCAAACTACTCAAAGTTACTCATGGTAAAGAAATTATTATTCATTGATATTATTGCATCTACCAATTTTCTCGATTAAATAATTGAAATTAATAATTAAAAACAATTTTATTTATATCACAGAATTTTCACAAGGAATTAGATGAAAGTTCTATCTAACAAACGCAATATAGCTCGAAAAACGACGCTTCGAATGATCACAAAAGCTGCAGATTTTCAATTGAATAGAATTGTTAAAAAGTTGTAGTTCTAACGGATAAACCACAAAATAATTCAGTCGTCTAAACAATTGGCAGAATACTGAACAAATCTGCACAAAAAATTACTAAATTAGCAACACAATCTTGTTTCACGATGGAATGCATTTCGTTAAAGGCTAATTTTCTGGGTAACTACAAATTATACGAAAAAAAGTTTGAAAAACTAGGTAGTTGTAATTGAATGAGGGATTGGCTTTGAAAATTACTACCTCATTTTTTTTGAATAGGCAAGATTTAACTAATCAACAGACTTTTATAATCAATTGATGCTTGAAAGACAGTCACGAACATTTGGAAATCAAGCTTACTATACATAAAAGATTAAAAATATTTGAAACTTATTTAGCGCACACATCTCAAACAAAAAATCAATTGCTATCACTCAAAATCGTTCATGAAAATATTTAAAATTGCGCCAGAATATTTGATACGCCAATAAAATTTGAACATTATAGAATTTGTTTCCTTTGGATTCTTCTGATATCAAATTATTTGTCTGTAAATCTTGTGTAGATAATTATTTCAAAAGCCGTCCAATGTTTTCATCAGAAACGTCAGATTTTGCAGGAATAAAATGTTCGTTTGGTAAGTTTTCATAAAAATAAATTCGTCTGGTGAATGAATATTGGCAACCGACGTCGTTTCAATAGCATGATTTTTGCAATTGATTGATTTTAAAGTAGTTTACTTTAGTTTTTAGCTCATCTGATTTCGGATTTGAATTCAATTCAGATGTACGGAACTTCTTGACCATAAGGGAGCAATATAATAGAAATATTAAATGTATAATTGTTCTATGTATTTCTATATAATTTCAAAAGTTGAGAATATTGTAATATGAGCTGAATCTGTTGCTGCATCTGTTAAAATAAAGGAAGGGAGATAAATAAAATAAAAAATAAAGGACGGGTCAACCGGCTGTCTCCAAGGTGTAATGGTCAACCGGCTGTCTCCAAGGTGACCGGTTGACCATTACATGGCATTAGGTATGCTGGTAATGTGTTGAGAAAATTAGTTGATTTGAGCAAAATTACCGATTTTTTGGAGCGAAATTCGGTTTCTACAACAATTTCTCACTTTTAGCGAGCCTCAGAAGCTTCTTTCACTCACGAACTGATAAGTTTCACTTGACCAATTCTTGATTTCAAAGAAAAATAGCGACTCAATGCCTCGTTTGTAGACGTCAGAAATTTTCAACGACACCTTTCAATTGTTGGCTATCGAAAAACTGGAATTTTATTTGATCCTAAGCTTTCTTCTGGGTTCATCGATATTCATAGTTTCAAATTTAAATCCACACTCACTTTTTCGACTGTCAAAGGCAGTCAAAATACAAAGATTGTTCATTGTCATATTGAATGTTATAGAGGCTTGCTCATAATTGTCCGTTCTATATATTGATTTCTTATACGTGATGTGAGTGAATTTGATGTCACAGCTGCGTTTGGCGACACAGCTGCGTACAAGTTCACAGCTGCGTCGGCTTGTAGCAATGTAAGTTAACCACGCCCGCCGACGACTCAGTCACATTTAACCTTCGTCATACTTTATTTCGCAACCCGAAATAAAGAGACTTCCTGGCAGGCAAATCTGAATGCGACACAGTCGAGACGGACGATCTCCAAGCGCTGTCTATGAATCGTGATTATTCTGTACATTTTGAACAGTGTTACCTAATCATCTGATTGGAGTTGCGGTCGCAATTTATTCATTTACAACTATTCCCTAGCAATCATAACATGCAGATACATCACATTCTTGTTCCTGTTCTCATCGTAAACATCATATATTTTCCAAGTTTAAATATAATTTTCTTATTCTTTAAAGAAATGTACTGGCAAATGATTGAATCCCTAATTTTCAGTAACGATTAATTAGTCGCCCAGAGTAGAAACTTATTTAAAGGAGTCTAAAGGGATGAATCGAGTCATCCCTAGATTTCAGGATGAGGCTTATGAGCAGCGTCTGGAGGGGGTAAAGGTTCCTAGTATGACAGGATGGTTCGTGGCGACCACATAAAGACTTGCAAATACACCCAAGGGTATTACCGGAACGAAATTTTGTATACCCTGGACACTGAGGGGATCACTAGGGGATAACGGTTTATGATAAGGAAACCAAGGAGTAATACTCGTACAGTCGTACTACTCAGCGGCAGCACTTCTCGCATCGCGTGACCGATTGGTGTAACGGCCGGCCAGAAGAGATTGCCGAGATATTAACGATGAACTATTTAAAGATGAGACTTGACTCGGTAATGTACAGGGTAGAGGAGCCTCCTACCAGAACCACTGGACAGTAAGTAAAAATACTGTGCCGTTTTGGACATAGACGTGTCCATTTTTTTGACATTTTTCGGGTTAGGTATAATGCAATGAGATCCGGTGGGGCCCTATAATAAGCACTGTCATTCTTCACTCTTATAGTATTAAGAAGGACAGATTTTGGTGCTTGGTATGCTATTGAGTTGTTGAATGAATAGCAAATTAACTGAAAGCTTTCGATGGACGTGTAGGTGTAGGTGTAGCGAAATAAACTGGAGCGAAGCTTGAAGAGTTTATTTATTACAGTGTCAGGAATAAATTATCATAAGTTATCGGAAACATCATAGGTATTTTTAGAAACGAGGAGCTCTGTAGGTGTTGGTCGGCTCAGGGGCAGCGTATCTGCCACTTGACCCAGATCGTGCAGCTTCCTCATCTTCACGGGCAGCCTTGGCGATTTGGTCCAGGACGAACTGGGGGATCTCGTGGGGGAAGGCAGGGGCCACGGGCAGGGCTGAAGACTCGGGCTGGTATCCGCCCTCGGCGTTGGCGACGTAGGTGAGCTCGAAGCTCTCACCGTCGGGGTGGACGAAGCGGACGGATCCTTGGGTCTCGACGGCGCCATCGGGGCCTGAGCCGTAGCCGGACTCGGAGATCTTGGTGCCATCTCCGGTTTCGAAGTCGAGGCTGTATTGTCCGGCGGCGCTGGGGTACACGCGGTCGTCACGGAGGATGGGCACATGTTCGCGGCTGTCGGCATGGCGGGGGGCAGAGTAGGTGTTGGTGGGAGGTGCAGCGTATGTTCGGCGGGGGGCATCTGGCCTGGCAGCGGCCACGGCCACGAGGGCGGCAAATGCGACCTAGAGAAACAAATGTACTTCTTCAAACTTTTAACGGTCACATTTAAGAAAACAAAGGAATACACAAATTTTATTATAATTATGCAACTTTAACGAATGATTTTGCTTCGTCGGCATGAACGATTGAAACTTAAGTTTTCAATCTTTTTCTGAAAATCAGGATTTTAACTTTATTTCGGGTTTGAACCGATTTAATATTTAAGAATTAACTAGTGATACACATTGATTTACACCGGAAGTTTTACATGGACATACTCATAATGTAGAAATTTATTCACACATTTTCAGCCGAAGCTTCATTCCACTTGAGCCGCACTTGAGATATTCGTATTTGAGTACAAAATTATGAAAATTTAATTATTTAATCACTCGGTTTTACGTTATACGCGTCCGCAAAAAAAACAAGAATTGAGTAACACATGAGATTGAAATAATCTATTTTCCGATAGTTCACTCCTGCAGGAATTAATATCACTTGACTGCTTAAATCGCAAGTTTATAAAAAATTTAAAAGCAAAGAAAATAGCCGGAAAATTGACCCTTTCTTAAAAAGGAAAACGTTTCGGAGACCAGCTCCATCAGTGTTTTAGGATTTGAACTGATGATGGAGCTGGTCTCCGAAACGTTCTAATGCAGGAAATATCAAAATATCACGTATCTTTTCATATGCGTATACTTATCCTCAAATATACTGTTATAATTTTTGGTAACAGTTTAGTCTAGAAAAACGCCTCTCTTCGTAAGCCATTAACTGTCGCTCGTCTCTTTAACTTTAACTCTTATCACCCGTTCTCTCACTCAAATGTTTCAATCACTTAAACGGTTAAGAATTTTCCAAGCTTATACATGGATCTGAAATTGAAGAAAATTCAAGACTCACAGCTTTGATCATGATGAGGGTTGTTGTTGAATTCGTCACTGGAAGGTGTGATGTGACTCTGAGGTTCGAGTCGCGCTTTATATACTCGAAAGACTTGATGTTTCGAGAGCAAGGTCGACTAGAACTCCCATGCCTCAGGCATACGTGGCATTCGCTAAGGTTTTTTCATATCTTGTTCGTGACGTGAAATCAATTGTGTTCTTCCAAATTGCTGTACAGTCTTGACATGAAATATTTTTGACACTTCATTCGAGATGAATTACTTGGTTGCAGTCTATGCTGTGCAACAAGCGAAAGAAATGATTTGTTTTTGACTAAAATATTATGCTGTCGTTCGATATTCTGAAATCGTCTTGTTATAAAATATTCCATTAATTGCATAGTGATGAAAACGCTCGCACTAGCTCGTCTCAGAAATAAATAAATTGAAGATTTCTTTTTCGAAAATGGATTTTGAAAGTAGTTAGAGATTAAGAAATTTCTTGTCGAAATATTTAAAAATTTTTTGAGTATTTAGCATCATAAAAATGGATGGACAAGCCACACTTGTATTCCTACAAATTCAACTTTTTTATTACAAAATTCCACTGTTCTTTGGGTAAACAATTCGAATGAAGGCAGCATTAACTATCTATGGTTAGGATTCATATGTTATAAACAATAACCATCACCTAAACTTTTTTAGGCCATATTATTTGGCTGAGTATGTAATCAATGAATTTCATTACCTCATACCATCTTACTAAAGAAATTTTATAGAAAATCAATAAATTTTGAGTCGTACGGAAATGCGATCAAATCAATGTCATGTAATTCAATGAGAAAAAATTATTAGATTGCAAAATTGAATAAGGCAATTTCAAACAGTACAGCTTGCAAACCTCATTCGTATAATCGAAAAGTCGAGTTCAATTTTTGTGACATTATGCTTGATAACTGAATTGTAAAATCGTTTCATTAACGATTATTTGACAAAAAATAGTGTTCGTTCATGAATCATTGAGAGGAAACAAAAATTTTGTAAAATGACGGGATAGAAAATTATAGCTTTATAGAGAGAAATTTATAACTTTTACAAATATTCATGAATTGTAATCGCCATGGTGTCCACACAGAACTCTAATTGCTATTGTTAGTAGCGAGACAGCAGGATAAGTTTCATCAAATAATTAAAAAATCAGAAAATTCGCCACTAAATTATATAAATGACGGCAAAATTTTAGTAAGGTACTGAAAATAATAAATGTAACACACCTGGATGGAACACACAGACTGAAAATGTATACATATTAGGTCTACAAAGAAAAGCGTTAAGCCGCAAAGGCATACGTGCAAATTAGTTAGGTCACTTGCGTGTCGTCAGCGCTTGCTCGAGGCGACTGAACACCTGCAAGGAATGTCATGGCGCACTCTACGAAATGTCGACGACTCACGATCACAGTTTTTTCGTAAAAAAATTTTGTTAACTTGGGGGTTAAGGCTTGGGGTTGCTTGCCCTTCGGGGCTTTTCTTTTCAAAAAATGTCAAGAGATCGTAAGTTCATCCCCCAATCATTGATGGCGTTTCAAGCAAAATCCACCAATCATAGACAAGAAAATAGAGTGTTCACTTTTAAATTTACGTTCACTTAGAGAGCTTTGAAAGTATGGCCCCTGGTTTGTTGAAACTGCTTCTAAAATTGTTGGAGCGCATTGCATTTCTCAACGTTCTTCACACTGTTTATCAATTACAAATTGCACCTTACAATTTTTTCCTGCTTAGAATCATTCACGGTCTTGTTGAAAATTCATTCTCAAATAAATTTAATTTAAGAATTTGCAACTAATGAATCGAAGAAACTCCTGTCTCTATAAATCCATTTATCTGAGTTTGATTAGCGAACGAAATTTTCACGATTCTTCGTTGGTAATGTTTTTTCTTCCAATGGAAGTGATTGTATATCTTACAATGGTTGTATACCAATAATTAATTTTATTTTTGTCCTCGTGACAAGTATTTCAAAATTATTCGAAGTTTTCGATTTACACGTTAGAATGTAATAGAAATTTCAATTCCATCGATATCGTTAATCAACAGAAGCCATAGTTAAGTGATGGGAGTGGACATTGGATTTATCGTGGTGACCGGATATCTTCAGGTCACTTCTTATGATCAGGGGACTGTATTCTGCAGAATGGCCTTCATTTAATGGTGGTTAATTTCCAATTCTGTAAATTATTTACTGCCGATATTAATATCCTACTCCTGAAAATATAAATGGGCTTCTTCTGAATTTCCGATGATTGAAATTTGAATGGTAATTGGAAGATAGAGAGAGCGAGACAGACACGGTGTTGGATAAACAGATGTGAGAGAAAGAAAGAGAGAGAGAGCGAACATCGAGAGAGAAAAACGAGCGAGGGAAGGTGAGCGAACGTCATGCACGATAACCGCCGCAAGGTTAAAGCGGGATCAAGGTTTGACCTAGCGCTGCAAGAAGCCAGGATCGTGCCTGAATAACTCGTGTCGTTCCCAAGAAATTAAATTTCAAGTGACATTTTGTTGTGATTTCGTCTCAGGAAATAGAACTTGTTAGTGATGAATTATCTCAGTTTACGACGAGACCCATAAAATGAAAGGGAAATTTCTTTATAATGATCAAGCTAATGAAAGTTGTTTGCGACACTTAATATTCCTTGACAATTTTTCTGTTATCATTCCTTGATAATTACAACTTAAAATTAAAGCGGAAACTTTATCGTATTGGATTATTTTTACTGGAGGATTTAGTCAAACATTTGCTTAAACATTCGGAGCGGGCCACACAAAGAAGATTCTACAAATTGAAATTATTAAAATTAAATTGTTTTGTTTATATTGAAATCAAAGTTTGTGGTGGGTTGATATATTTTTAAAACCTTCTTTATCTCGCTATTTTGCGCGCAATCATACTTTTTGACGTACCAAACGATAGTCTAGAATCTTGTTTATGACATATGATAAAAAATTTAAAAGCAAAGAAAACAGCCAAAAAAATCACCATTTCTTATGCGAAAAAACGTTTCGGGGTCCAGCTGCTCCATCGTCAGTTCAAAAATCTAGAACACAAATACAAACAATTAGCGAATTAAAATTCACTCTCACATTTTTAAAATTTTTAAAATTCACTCTCACAGCGAATTAAAATTCACTCTCACAGTTTTTTTTTTTTTTTGCTTTCAAATTCTTGCTAAACTTGCGATTTAAGCAATCCAGTGATCTTAGCACCTATGTCGTATGATCTCGTATTTTTTTGATAGCAATTTTCGCTTTTTCGCCCAACAATTCTTTTTTGCCAACAATATTCTTTAGCCACTAGATTTTGATTTGAATTTGTGTAAAAAATCGTTGTTCCAGGGTAAAAACTAATGGTACCAAATATCTCAAAGCATTTTATCGACTACTAGGATTGCAATCAATAAAAGCATTATTTTTTTTATCAATGCACTTACTGTTTTTTTATCTATATGCGAATAAAGCTTCTCACTCCAAATGCTCATCTTGATCACATTGAAAAAAGAACACAACTAACGTACACAATTATTACGAACAATAATGGTAAAATTAAAATTTTTAGTCTAGAATGACAATAGCTATATTTTGCAATGCTTGATTCATCGCCACTTTTGACGTTCAGTAATGAAAGTAGAGTATTAGAATCTTGACAAAGGCTCTGAAAGTTTTTCAGGAATTAAGATGAACATTTGATCGGAGAAAAGGTCAGTCGATGTCGATCTTTCATGACGACATCAGGTCACCTTCTTGGTCTTCTTGTAATGCAGTCCTTGAATCCTGCTCGCAATAATATGATATGAAAAATTTCGAAATTTTTATTAAATTTTTTAATAAAATTCGACGAAAAGTGTTATTAAATTTTATCAATTATCTATGTTGATTGTAATGATTTCTGTTCATGTCTTGATTAACCCTTATCCCCGGCCGCCCACATGTCAAACAAATTACGTAGTGTTTGATTGTTTTTGTGTACTATTTGTCATATTAATTATTCTAAAAATGCAATTAGCTTCGATTCACATGAATTCAATTTCCCATACTTCAAAAAATAGCGCGACCTATTTTAGTGAAACTCGTACTTCAAGTAAACTTTGTACTCGATTTAAGCAATGTTTTTAAAGCTAAGTTTTTATTGTGCTTTTTCCACTTCATACTCAGAAATCAATCCCACCAATTTGTCCATTTTCGGCATTATTGAAGCTCTGCTTGTACCCCATCAAAGATATTATATTGGCTATCAATGTCAGCAAGATTCGCGCTTAATCGCTACACTTATAAATCAGTAATGTCTTAAAATCTTAGCATTCATTTTAATTCAATAGACTACCAGGATGGTAATTATTATCTGCAAAAAAAATAATCTGTGCAAAATTAATTAGACTCATATGCTTCATTAAGCGTCCATCACGCATGTGGTGCCAATCGACTTCCAGTTTAGGCCAGCAGAATATTATGAAAAAAAATATTCAAGGGACTTCTGATCAGGAAGCTGTATGACTTCTTTATAAAAGAGTTTATCAAACAGAGGACAACTTCCGATTGCAGGAAGCAGTTCACCCACTTCTCAGCGAGACTACTTGACTTCACCCACTTTTTGCACTTGACTGAAGCGACTGCAAGGCATCACGTGCAAAGTGCATCCACAGAACACACGTACACACTAGTTTCTTCGTTGGATCTCAACTTTTGTGAAGGATTTATCAATTTGAATCTTTATATTGTAATTTTGCATTCAATTTCAGATGTATTTTTTGGCAATATAAAAATTCCCGATATTCAAGTTTGGCAATATAAAAGTTCACAATATTCAATTTTTGTTGTATAAAAATTCACGTTATTAAATTTTGGCTATATAATGTTTCATGATATTCAATTTTGGCAATATAAAAATTCAGATATTCAACAGAATGGTTTGATGTGAGGTGAAAATAAAACATAAATGAGTTTTAAATTATTTTTCAGTCTTTCAAAATTTCTACATTTCCATAGACTTTATTTTCAATATAATTTTGCTAATATATTTTTAATTAATATATTAATCTAAT